AAAAACAATAAAGCAATGCGAACATTAACAGATTAAGGAAGCATCCGAGTCCAAAATTGTCATACGTTGGTAAGATATGTGCTGCCCTTGCCAATACACATAAAACATTGCTTGATAAAATTTTTACTATAATTTAATAAAGATTTTTCTCTTCAATTTTTAAATGTTTTCAAGGAGGCTAGAAGCGCGTCGTCTTAAAAAAAAGAATTAAATCTTGAGGCCCTTCCTTTTTTTTTTCATTCTCAATTCAAATTTAAAACTGAATTATAAACAACAAATGCTTTACAACCAAAAAAGAAAATATCGTCGAATGGACATACAGACAAACAACTATTTTAAGCCAGTACACTTCAATATGAATTGTCATATATATATTCGACCATGTATATGATAATTTCTTTTTTTTTGACAACCCTTACCTGTCAATAATAGACCTTTTCAACAACTCTCGACACCGACTAATGACACCTACAGTTTACAGGTAATATAGAGGTGTCGTCTCAAAAATAGAAATCAATCATTAATAGTATTACTATTACTGTTATACACTATTTTGATTAAAGAACATATTTCAAAAAAATATTGAATATCTCTCTCTTTCATATAATATTCTTATTACATGTATTTATACGACATTTCACGTTGAATTTATTAATTTCACATCGTGATCTGCTTTATTTCTTCTTAAAATATATGAATATGAATATTTAGATAAGCTAGTTTGTCAATGGAGATTGTGCCACATGCCAATAGCGATTAAACATTTTTTGCAATGCTATATATTAAACTTGCGGAAGAAACATTGTAACAGGACTGTCCGTCCGTCCGATATAATTTGTGCTTCTCAACCGATCTTCACGTCACGTGGTGTACACATTGAATTTTGGTAGCCTCTTAATTTCGAAGGTCAAAGGAAAAGGCCACATCGCAATATTTAGTTACAAGGGACCACTCTGCTTCAAGATACGTGTACCATGTTAAAGTTGAGGTGTTCCCCGAATGAATTGGAACCATTAACGGTATCATTTTTTTTTTCTGCACCAGACGAGCAATGTCTGTTCGGTGATGCTCAAGGCCCAAATATTTGAAAATATGTAACAATATTCCATCAGTACCTTATATCTCAACCGATCTTGTTGCCATTGCAGAGTCTTTTTGGACAGTGTCGCACTTCTGACTCAAATAGGGCTTTTTGGCCAACAATTTAGGTAATCCTTTAATACGTTCTATGGTTGTCATCACGAACTGATTGGCCGTTATAGGTTGTCCGTGTCCCAAAAGACATCATATCTTGTCCCTTTGTCATAGATTCCTATCGCCGTTCCCGAAAATGACATCCGTGTGTCTTGCATGAAGCGGTAACTGCTTACCCTTCCCACTTCTGGACTTAGCTTAGCTGGTTTTCTACTCTTTTCTATTTTTTTCCATGCGTAATTGTTTTTAAATTTCATCTCTGTTATACATGTTATACATGGGGAAGATTTTGGATCCAATTATACTTGTAAAACCCCGCCGCATGTTTTATGTGCCTGAAACAATTCTTGTTGTCGTGTTGGTCATTGGTACGTCTTTGTCACAATAGAATTTTATAAATTTACAATTTGGTATTTTGACATTATGGTTCGTCCTCATATTTGATTCCTTGTTTGTCAATCAAAGATCCTTTTTCTATTTTTGGGGGTGGGGTGGGGGTAGCATGAGGGTATTTAACCAAAATGCAGATCATGCGGTAACTCTTTATGTCTGTTTATGTGTTGCATTGTGTGATTTTGTTCCTATTGCAGAAGTCATAAAAATAGCAAAAGAACGACAAAGTTAGCTTAGGATTTTAATCTGAATCTGAACCAGAAATGACACCAAGGGCCTTTAAAAGTATTGGCATCTGTTTTGTAATGACTTTATTGTATTTCAGCTGGTTCTCGCGCATAAGTTGTATTTTTGGGCGCTTTTTTCTTAAAGTTTTTATTAGTCGTACAACATTAGGGCGTGACAATTCATCAGCATTACCCTCTCTCTGGTCAGCTATAGCATTTGGTTGTACAGCGACGGCACCGAAAGCCGAACATTTAAAGATAAAGAATCGAAAAAGTTGAACATCAAATTGGTGAATTAAAAAGAAATAAAGTAAATACTACATTAAGGCACCCGAATCCCAAATTAAAAGACAATGTAGACACATGTGCTGCCCTAGTCAACAGACATAAACCATAATTTGTTTAATTAAACATCTACTACAAAAGTACATGTTATTTTGTTTATATTTTCCATCTCGACGTCTAAAAAAATGAAATTTTGAAGCCCTTCTTTTTATGATAGTCAATTCAAAACTAACTTTAATTTTAATAAGCAAATACTTAATAAACAAAACAAGGTATACGTTGGATAGTTGTCTCATTGGCAATCAAGATCAATAATATTCATATCTCACCTAACGTAGTTGTTCTCAACTGTAGGTGTAGACAGTTGTTGAAAAGGTCTAATAGGTCTTAGTAGTTTTCTAAACGGTAAAATAAGTGATGCACGAGTGTCATGAATACAAGATTAGCTATAACTAAAGAAGGAGATATAATGATTTTTATTTAGCTTATTATATTCAATATAATATTTTGTTCATACATATGCATCTACATATTAGCAAGTAAAATAATTTTGTAACTTTATTTAGATCTTAGGGAAATGGAATTCATATACGATTACGTTCTTGTTTTCCTAATCCACTTTTTTTTTAAATTACTTGTATAGTTCGTATTTATTTATTTTTGTAGTTATATATATAATACATGACAAATTCATCAATAAAATATTTGTACACTAAAACAGGAGATAATCGACGGATACCTTTAGAAACGACACATGATCCTTTGAATATGGTTAAGTCTATACAAAATAGATATAAGAAGATGTGGTATGAGTGCCAATGAGACAACTCACCATCCAAGTCACAATTTGTAAAAAGTAAACCATTATAAGTCAAAGTAGAGTCTTCCAACACGAAGCCTTGGCTCACACCAAGCAGCAAGCTATAAAGGGCCCCAAAAGTGACTGGTGTAAAACCATTTAAACAGGAAAACCAACGGTCTAATCTATATAAAAACGAGAAACGAGAAACACTAATGATCCACATCAACAAACGACAACCACTGAACAACAGGTTCCTGACTTAGGACAGGTGCAAACAAATGCAGCGGGTTTAAACGTTTTAACAGCCGCCAACCTTAACCCTAACCTGAATGTAACATCACAACCTAGAAAGACACACTATAAAATATCAATTGAAATGGCTGAACACAATCAAAAGACATATTAACAAAAACAAGTAAACATACACTGAACGAATAGATTTGATCTATGACACAATGTAAATACAACATAGATAAAAAGGGGGGGAGATGTAAAACAACATCAAAACTATAACCTTGGACAAAATGGCGTTAAAAAGTCTATTCCAATATTCCAACAACGCGAACATGTGCATATATTCGAGATGTAGAGTTAGAAACAGAGACAACTATAATTTCATCGAGCATGAAGTTGCAAAAACCTCAAAAATAGAATGACTTTATAATTATAAAATATATTCAAAGACTTGCTGGTGAGTGTTGATTTATTCACTAAAGCAGACCCGTCGTCACAGCAGGCTCTTGCAAGGGTTGTTAAAGAAACCGCATCTGACTTGCAAGCACATTCTGCATACCCAACTTTAAATTGTCACTCGATTAGTACGAAATACAACATATTTTGCAAATGTTACTTGCAAGACTACAACTACTAAGTATCTACTACAGGATAAATATGGTAAACAGTATATTGGTGAATCAGAAATGCCTATAAGTGATTATCTTGTCATCAATGTCACAAACGTATGAACGGTCATCATAGTGACTATGAATGTGACACATACCCTCCTCTCAGTCGACATTTCAGATCCATTGACCACACTTAGGCAGATCTCAATCAACTGACTATTACTATCATTGTGTGTGTGTGTGTGTGTGTGTGTGTGTGTGTGTGTGTGTGAAAACCTATTTATATTAATGTGCCGAAAAACCTTCATAATTAAAACGAGCAATGATGGGGCGATCAAGACCAACAACACAGAATAACTTACTTTTTTTATTGTATTGAATTAATTTCTCTAGGTCCCAATCTTTGTCAATTTAACTTTTGAATAAATAATCACCTTGTAGCGCCATGGCATTTTGACATTGTTGGCCAAGTTTTTTCATACTTGATATAATACGTAGTACTCGAGCCACCAACCGTGTTAAGTTCGTGCTTTTGGTAGGGCTGGGTAAATTTATATTATCGTTTGGAAAAAGGATAAAATATACGATCATAGGATATAGCAGAAACATTCGTTATCTTTTTCATAGAATCAATTGGTTATATTTTCCGTTTGTTCTTTATATTTTAATAATTTAAAACAAACTTACTTTTTTTCAGGTTTTTATTTTCATGCAAACAAAGTAAATTAGACAAATATTCTGCACTTCTTTAGACAAATACAGGATCTAATGTAATACACTTGGATAAGAAGGAACGATGGTTTTGGTAACATTGCTTGTTCTGATAGTAACCGTCATCATCATTGAATTAAGATGTTTTTATTCAAAACCAGTGTATAGAAATTATGATGAGAAATTTCGGAATATAGCTGTTACATCAGAATATGTGTACATCGCAGACAACAGTAAAATAATTCAACTTGATTCATCGTTGATTCAATTAGACCAGAAATATGTTTTTAATGATGGTATGACCTCAATTCATTTTGAAAATTGGCTATTGGCTAGCCATAGCAATGAATCATTAATTGTTTGTAATTATAAATTAAATTACAATACATTGTGTTTGAAACTCAAACTAGATCTTAGTGTTGTTACTTCTAGTGCTGATCTGAAAAGTAATAAACCGTCTACTCAATATTTAACAACTACATTTAAAAACTCAAATATTTTAATCATAGCATCTTCAATGTGTTTATGGTATGTCTCATACGGGGGAAAATGCAATGCTATATCAAGTTATGATTTAGATAGTTTTCAACCATATGTAAGTCAAGGATTTCTAGAGTATGCTGTCGAGTATTTACAACAAGCAAAGCATGTTACATTCAAGGCTATTTTTAAAATGGAGAAGTTTATCTATTTTCTCTTCAATACAGAAGACGGACATTCAAAATTAGGAAAAATGTGTATAGATAATTATGATATGAAAACTAACACATTTGAAGACACACCTATTTTATGTTCACATGATGGCAAAAACTACACACTGGCCCAGGATGCTGTTCACTGGAAGGAATACCTGCTCGTTGGATTTAGTGATGATTCATTAAATGTAATCTGCAAATATAAGATTCAAAATATGGCAGAAAAGTTCATGGAATCCAGACAAGAACGATTAGAATGTCCATATGATACTGCAAATACATACTTCATAGAACAGAGACTACCAGGTTGGTGTTTCAATAAAACGTCAGGACTATGTCAAAATGAATTTTTAAATGTAAGTTAACCCAAGTATTCTCTTCATTTAATGATCAACACAAAGGACTTGAATGTGTTTTGTAAAATTGTTGGTATAAACGTATGAAAGACATGACATTTTCTATTAATATGAAATCTTGCACTTTATAAAACAATCTATATATAAATATATATAAAGAGAGAAGTCTATAAAAACCAGCAAGTACAAATATAGATCTGTATTTATGTACGAGTCAAATCCATATACAGCCTTATATTTGTGTCCAATTATACAAATACAAATCCATTTTTTTTCATAAAGTAGACTTTAAGTAATAAGTAATTAGTCGTGACTAGGGACAGGCACATATATAATGTTGCGGAGTAAAATATGCTTGCGAGAGGTGAACCATCCCCTAAATTGAGACCGATGGGTAACATCAGCACATATGAATAGACTGAACAAATCAATTTGAAAGGGTTTGACTCATCAGATAGGCAGAAACCACAAAAATCATCATACAAAAGACACACAAAAAAAGACAAAACGATCTGATAGTTCTAAAATCTGTACAGTTTGGCCTTCAAGGATAGGCTTGTTTGACTAGACTAAGTGTTTATTACTAAATTTTCTGTCTAGTTTAACTGTTAGAATATTTATTGATATGAAAAAAAATAATAACCGGATAATAAGACGAGTTATTGACCGCTAGATGCAAAACATATAAAAAAAAAAATATTTAAATTATGACTGCGAGAAACTGTAGGCTTCTATGAACACAGATTGACACGAATAACTTACCATGACATAAACTGATATCCAGTTCTTTCGAATATATAATTCATGTTGATGTATTTTACATGAAAAATATTTCATCAAACTGTATTACTTGTTCCTTCTCTCAAAATCACAAGGCGAAAAAAGTAGTCCCCTTGTTCATGGTGGGATTTATCCTGAATTGAATATTTTCCCCAACAGATGAGTATAAACGATTTTTCGAAAAGAAATCCAAGCGGATATGCTTTCCTCGAACCATTTACATCTTTTGACATTGGCTCGTGCCATTAAAGATATCCTCCGGAAATTGTTTTAGACGTTGGACATATAACAGGGCCATTATGAAGACACCACGACCAATTACCTAACACATTCATTAACCATATAAACAAAAGAGATATGTGCATATGGGGTGAATTGTACTTCTGTTGGTTTAAAAAATGCTTTAATATTTAATTGTTTGAACAAAATTAATTTAATTTAAAATGGCATATATAATGATAGCACCACACCAAAACTTTAAAAAAAATTTGATTAAGTCTAAAGGTATCATCAAAATTATATACCTTTGTGAATCTTTCAGTATTCTTGTCCAGAATTAACTGACGTAGACGACGGATTCTGTAATACAATCTTTTTTGGATCCGTAGAAGGAACACTACCTATAACGGACGATGAGATAGTTTACAGCGACGAGATCGATAAAGTTGGTTCCATAGTTAAACTTGGTATTTTAAGTTTTTCTACCCACTCGCTAATTTTTGCTGGAACAACGACAGGAAAGATTGGTAAAGTATGTTAATAGATTTCTCTAATTTTTAGCCAATTTATCTTTTTCTTCTAGATATTTTTTTTTCTATCATCGACATGCGGTTCTCTTGAAATCAATGTTTAATTGGGTTCAAATAGTTCAAATATAACGCCATCTTGTGTTGCATTCCTTTGAATTCACTATTGTGACGCTTTGAAAAAAGGCGATCTTACCTGAAAAAGTAGCTTTGCAGATTATTGAAACACGAGATAAAGCTTACCTCTATACATGTATAACGTCTTAAAATCAATAAAGAGACAGATTCTACTCCCGTTTATCACGATAAAGTGTACTTTTCCACTGTCGACAGGAGATGTATCGTATCATACCCAATGCATTGGTAGAATCTATGTCCAGATTTACATTTGTATATCTTTTCAAATTATCCTGCCTAAAGAGATTATTCAAACTTCTGCGATCATTTGGCGTCTTTTGTCTGCCTGCGAATTGAAAAGTAACGTTGTTAAGCATATTGATACTTACGCCATCGAAAGTCATTTTAACCAAGCATTACGTAACCTGGGTAGGTTTTTGCTTAATCTTTTTGTTAAAAATAATCAGGGCGGAATTTGAAGTTAGACGAGGACAATTATGTAAATATTCAAAAAAGGGCGACAGTGAAACTTGATTCATTTAAATGAATGTTTACCAATAATTTGATAATATTAATGCTTTATGCATACATTGTTTACCGGTCTCTTGTCACTTTTTAACGTGCTTTTGTAAATCAAGGGTGACACCAAAAAGCGTTCAAAAATAGTTTTAGGATGTAGCATTTAACCCACTATTTTCTTCGGAAAATTCCTGTACCTGGTCAAGACAGTTGTTTTCCATTCGTTCCGTTGGTTGATACAGTTTAACGTTTGATTTTGTCAGTTTTTACAGTTTCTCCCTTTTTAGCTCACCTGGCTGAAAGGGCCAAGTGAGCTTTTCTCATGACTTGGCGTCCGTCGTCCGTTTACTTTTACAAAAATCTTCTCCTCTGAAACTACTGGGCCAAAGATAACCAAACTTGGCCACAATCATCATTGGGGTATCTAGTTTAAAAAATGTGTCCGACGACCCGGCCCGCCAACCAAGATGGCCGACATGGCTAAAAATAGAACATAGGGGTAAAATGTAGATTTTGGCTTATATCTCTGAAACTAAAGCATTTAGAGCAAATTTGACATGGGGGTAAAATTGTTCATCAGGTCAAGATCTATCTGCCCTAAAATTTTCAGACAAATTAGACAGCCCGTTGTTGGGTTGCTGCCCCTTAGTCGGTAATTTTAAGAAAATTTTGCAGTTTTTGGTGATTATCTTCAATATTATCATAGATATAGATAAACTGTAAACAGCAATAATGTACAGCAAAGTAAGATCTACAAATAAGTCAACATGACAGAAATGATAAATTGACCCCTTAAGGAGTAATTGCCCTTATAGTCAATTTTTAACAATTTTTCATAATTTTTGTAATCTTTTACACAAATCTTCTCCTCTGAAACTACTGGGCCAAATAGAATCAAACTTGGCCACAATCATCATTAGGGTATTTAGTTTAAAAATGTGTCCGATGATCTTGCCCGCCGACCAAAATGGTCGACATGGCTGAAAATAGAACATAGGGGTAAAATGCAGTTTATGGCTTATATCTCTGAAACCAAAGCATTAAGTGCAAATCTGACAACTGGTAAAAACGTTCATCAAGTAAGATTCTATCTGCCCTGATATTTTCAGACGAATCAGACAACCCGTTGTGGGGTTGCAGCCCCTGAATTAGTTATTTTAAGGAAATTTTGCAGTTTTTGGAAATTATCTTGAATATTATTATAAATAGAGATAAACTGTAAACAGCAGTAATGGTCAGCAAAGTAAGATCTACAAATAAGTTAACATGACCAAAATTGTCAATTAACCCCTTAAGGAGTTATTGCCCTTTATAATCAATTTTTTACAATTTTTCGTAAATTTTTGTAATCTTTTATAAAAATCTTCTCCTCTGAAACTACTGGGCCAAATAGAATCAAACTTAGCCACAATCATCATAAGGGTATTCAGTTTAAAAAAGTGTCCGATGACCCTGCCTGCCAACAAAGATGGCCGACATGGCAAAAAATAGAACATATGGGGTCAAATGCAAGTTTTGTCTATTATTCTGATAACCGTTATAAAAAGAGGAAATCTGAAAAGGGTAAAATTGTTCAGAATGTTGAGCTCTACCAATTATCCATATACGTCAAAACAGTAAGACAATTTCCTGTAGGAGTTATTGCCCTTAAATGACAAATTTTACCACTTTTTTTCGATTTTTGCCTATTATCCTATCTTGATAACTATAAAAGATAGAGAGAAACTTTAAATTGCAAAAATGATCAGAAGGACAAGTTCTACAAATAAGTCTTATGGTTGAAATCATCAGTTGACTCCTTATTAGAGTTATTTCCCTTTGGTGCCGATTTGTACAATTTTTTTTGCGTTTTTGTCTTATATCTTAAAACTTATAATAGATAAAAGAAACTTAAATATACAAAAATGATCAGCAAGACAAGAGCTACAATTAAGATAAATGGCAGAAATTGTCCGACGACTCCTTATTTGAGTTATTGCCCTTTAATTATGATTTTTACCATTTTTTGTGGCGTTTTTCCTTGTATGATATTAATTATAATAAATGATGATAGAATCTTAAATAATCAAAAATGATAAGCAAGACGAGACCTACTAACAAGTCAAATTTTGCTGATATAATAAGTAGACTGTTACTCTTTATAGTAGTTTTTTCACCCTCTTTTGTGTTTAGAGCAAAAGCTATATAAGATCATGAAGATAGAGAGAAACTAAACAAACTTCAATGATCAGCAATATAAGATACAAAAAAAAACAGAGATTTTTGTCATTTATTCTATTCTCGTCTACAATGTTGGAGAGTGTCCCTTGTTGAATATGCATATAGACCAAGGTGAGCGACAAAGGCTCTTGAGAGCCTCTAGTTGAATTAACTTGGTATTTTTGTTAATACTTTTAAAGCACACAAAAACCAAATCAATACTGTTTTCAGGGGCGGATCAAACAATTAGTAAAAGGGGGATGTCAATGATTGTACATCAATATCAATGTCATCCTTATGTTACCAATATTAAAGGGATTTGAAATGCATGGCTGACATGCGGAGTCCAGAGATTAATTAGTTAATAAACGTATAACACTCTGTAATTGCTTTCAACATAACTAGGACTACCTCCGAGAAAATTACCAGCAAAATTTCAGTTTTCCTTCTGTCGTTTTGAAGAACTCAGTGGTTTTTGTTTTAATTTTTCAGTTTGTTAAGTCGAACTGGACACCAAAGCTCCTTAATAGAACTACCATGCTGCATCATAATTTATCACTAGAAACCTTTTTCGTAGGAAATATAATATATAACATGCATGTATACATGTAACTATATTTAAATATCACAGCAGTCGATCTAGAATATTTATACAGTTAGAATAAATTTTTTAGAATAACAACCTTAATGGGTTGTCATCTTTCTTGATATTACTGCTTTTATTTTTTTTTGTTTATCGTTCTTTTATTGCTGCACAATTACTAGGGAAACAGTTAGTAATTTTACAGATGTGACGTTGACTAAGCTCTTACCCTTGTTTAGATGTTGATGTACACGACTTCAAAGGAACGATTCGCAGCGACCATTCAACAATTAATGCTCAAAAACTATTAGGGTGCGTCTTATTTATGGTTTGTCAATGAATTGAACATTCCGTTACATCCACATATCTTTTTTAAATGGAATTGCTGGTCTTTTTTTTTAAAATTTGCAATTAAAGTAGCCATTGAACGTGTCCTTAGATGTGATAGGGTTATTGCACTAATATTGAGGAATATATTCAGATCATTATATCCTATATCACGAGCTTGTGCAATATGATATATTGCTACGGACAATATTAGTGAAATAACTCTTTAATGTTATAGTACCAACTATTCTTAACTGATGATGCTTGGTCCAAATCCTGCAGGTTAAGATGTGATTCCTTCAGTAAGTACGCAATGTCCATTTCCGCCATTTTATTTATCTCTCTTTTGCTTGAGCGCAAATAACGTTTGGAACGTTTCAAGTTATATACGTGCCAAACTAAAGGAGAACACTTAGATAGACAATAACTGTTTAGTGTCTTTAAATATCAGCTGTATTTGTACGAGGATAAGAAACAGGTGTAATGAGAGCTTCAGCGAGCTATTACTCCTGTTTCGAGCCGAATAAAAATACAGCTGATATCTAAAGACACTAAATAGTTATTGTCTTTATTTTGCAATTAATTTTGTACATTGCGTTTGCTTTAAAAGACAGAAAACTCACATTTATTGCATTTATTTTCGATTTAAAATCCTTTGAGACGTGCGTAGTAATATTAAAATAAAATCACACAATCAGCTGATGACCGGTACGCCGAAAAAAATCTAGCATGGTCAACATCGCTCAAAGTTAATAATCATCTATTATAACATAACAACTAATTTCAACAGTAAAAACAAAAAACAAAACATTGTCCGATTTAAGACAAAAGTTTTGATTTGTCCTACGCTTCAGAATTTCGAACTGTCTGTGCAATCACTGATTATTGACATTGTTGCATGGTTGATTTTGCGTGTTACACATTTACACATTCAAGTTTTGAACTCGAAGATTGGCGCTGTAGAAAATGGAGTTAATCCTGCTGTTCATGTTGATCTAGGAGCAGAAAGTGGGTTGCGGATCGGAGACTTGAACATTCACAGACGGAGCAATACGTCATTGGAATGCGATTGCAATACACATTCTGAGGTCACGAATATTCATACTACATATGTCAACATCAATGCACAAAAATGTTCCGGCAGTGGGCGGAGCTTTAAAGCGATATCTGTATAGTATACAAATACAAGCTTGCGATATCTGTTGGGCTGGAAATGTATAAGACACCCCATTGCAGGATAAAATGCAATATCAATCAAGATGAAATATTTTCAACACATCGAAAATGCTCATCGTTTAAGGTAAAGTAACCTAGAAAGGCAGACCGGTAAAAATATCGGCAAGTTTTATATTTGTTTTTACAAAGACATCTACATGACATTGTTGATACTATGTTATAGTTACATGCATTAAACAAATGTGCTACTATTTTTCGTATTGCATTAGCTTTATATTGGAAACTATAAACGTTATATTATAAACAATATTAGTATTAAAGAAAATAAAGATCAAAAGTAAATGAAATAAATATTTTCACTTTTCATTGTCAGATATATGTAGATGAAAGAAGAAGTAAGCAATTAGGAACATTTAACATCGTTCAACATTCGTTTCCAGTTTTAGATATACAAGTTCAGGACCAGAATGTGTATGTGTTGACTGAGAATACCGTAAGAATTTTTTACAATTTATGAATGTTGATAAACCTGTCATATATTTTGTAGAATGTAACCTAGATATATTTCTGAAATTGCACTCACTGCAAAATCGCTGAAAATAACTTCGTCAGAACTTCTGAACGTTTGTGGTACAACTGTTTTTTTTTTTAATGTTACTAGTTCAGTTTTATCGATAAATATAGTGATTACATGCCTGTTGCCCTTACATTGAATAATTTTGTATTTTAGGTCATAAATATCGCTGATAATGAGCCATGTCCCTCATATGTAACTTGCTTCGAATGTATGACATCAGAAAATCCGGCTTGTGGATGGGACATTTTTAATCCAAGGTAAACATCATGTGAATATCAGGGAAGGAATCATTAAACATAGTATTTACATTTAATTGGCGGGCATTTATTTTATTTATGTTTGAGTTTTTCCGTTACCTCATATATTGCTTATGTCCTGTAGAATAACAATTTTGAGATTATAATACGTTTCGTTGTCTTAATTTATGCTCTGAACCTGCGTCAGTATGATACGAACAGTGCCGAAAGTATCTTTTGGTCATATTTCATTTAGAACACTGATGGCAATAACTATTTACACGGGTGTCTGAATAATCTTCTGCAGGTTAATTGAGCACGTGAAATTTAGCAAATAATCAGGTGGCAACATTAGTCGATAATTGATATTCTTAGTATATGATCTCAACTCTAATCTCCTAAATCAATTCGGGATAAACAAACGAAGGTTCAAAACACTGAAGAAAACGTTTGAACTTCAAGTGGACAACATTAGATGCGTCGACAGAGTGAGGGTATTCTTATATAAATGGAAAAAACAAAAACATAGACAAAACTCGTTTGAGATCAATTAAAAATTTGGCAGCATTACGCAAATTATATTGCTGGTGGTTGCCTCATGCTGAACTGAACCACTTTTAAAATTACTGGCATGTTTAAGTATTTTATCATCAGATTCATCTTTGGTTTTAGAGCTACAGTGATACTAAGTGATTTAAGGGGCATTTTAAATAGTTACAGTACACGCAGATACTATTAATCATCTACAGATCTACGTTTATGCAAATTTAAACGACTCTACTAGTGCAATTCAATCTAAAACCTTGGCAAAAATAGTCAAACACTTTTTCATTATACTAATGCCAAGCGTGGTTGCACATATATAGATAGAGAAAGTTGAAGAAGAAACAACCAACTCTGGTTATAAAGACGATGTTATATAAACTGACAGCTTCAACATTTGTTTTTGCAGTTTTAAGACGACAGGTTTGCTACGTTACCTGGACAGGTTTTCCTGTTGACAGTCGACGACTATATGTTTTGCTATACATATTGTCAAAATTCAATTCCAATTTGAACGACAGTTACTAAGTAAACGTTAATGCATTTATAGGACTTAGATTTAAATAATGGATACAAGATATACAGTATATAGTGTGCAAAGTCAGGTTATGTGGTATGTTTGTGAATGAGTCAACAATCAACCGTGGGCATGAAAAATGTATGAACAATTGCAGGTGACGAAATTTGTTAAAGCGCATTATGTTTACAAAAAAAGACGTAGAGATATTCATAAACAGTTTCTCAATCAGCATCAATGCAATTTATACATGGATTTTTTACGACAATTAATTTAAGACAACTCTTATATTGAAACGTTTAATCACCTTTCACTTTAAACATTATTACAATTCAAAGATGATAATGTATATTAAGGATGCTGTATATAACAATAAATTCAATATGTCAAAATCAAGACTACAACTGAAAGAATGAAGATTAGTTTGAAAATGACAGACACTTTTTCCATCGAACGAACGAAAGAAGAAGGAGGGAAATGTTTGCCTTGTCACAGCCCGCTTTTAGATACGTGTTACAAGGGATCTCCATGAACAATAGGTCGATTGATTAATTTATTTATTTATTGAATGTCGCTTGTTCAACGTTCAACGGAAAAAATATCACATACTGTGGATTAATCATTATTCGTTGGATTCCAACGTTAATTTTGTGGGAAGAGGTGAACCACGAATTTAAATATTCAACGAATTATAAATTTTGTAATAGACATGTATGCCGACTTTGGCAAAAGCACGAAATTAAATATCTACGAAAATGTAAGTTTTCCTCAATCCACGAAAATTGGTACCCTCGAATATAAATGATTCCACAGTATATTTAGGATTTAGTCGACAAGAAGGGCGGAAAAATTGAACTGCAAATGGAACATGGGAATTAAAAAAAGGAGAAAAGAGAAAAATGTTTGCCTTTTTTCAGCCCAATTTCAGCTACTTGCTACAAGGATTCTTTAACATGCTGAAAACTCCTACACGAATCACTGATTAACACCATGTCATGCCAACTAGTCGTGACTGTGTATTTTCATATAAATCAGAGACCAACGAAACAATAAAACAACATGAATTTAATAGGTAGATCAACCAGCAAGAAGGATGGGAAAATGAACAAATGCTGTAAAGAGTGGGTAATACTTGCAACAAGTCATTTACGGACCCCTCAAATGGTTTTTGCAAGTATTGTTTATAGTGGAGAGTGCAAAGCGAACACCCTCATGATTAAATGTCATAATTCCGATCTAACGTAGCTAGCTACTTATACACCAACACCTTCAAATTGAGGTCAAACTGTGGAAAAAATTTACTACCGCATTGTCCATTGACGGCCATATTTCAATTCTAAATACAACCTTTTTTTTCACTGTACGTTCAAATTCTTAACAGAAAAGCATCGGTAATATATAAACAATGCAGCCCTAAAGTTGCTCTTTTGTTAAGTTAACCGTAAGGGTGTTTTCCATAAATGTGCATCTTTTTCACAACAGTTATACGTTATATTTTGAATAATATAGAAAGCTCTAAATTGTAGCTGCATGGTCAATCCTGATCGTTCAACTTGGTGGCTGCCATCTATTGGCCGACAATGTCTTCAAGTCAAAACAAAAGAACTGGTGATCAATGAAACTACAGACAATGTCAGTAATTTTATTATATCTTATTGTTTGGTGTAAATAAGCTGAAGTAAAATTTGGAAATTATACATGATATCGACAGTAATGTAGATTAATTTAGATGTAATAACATTAAATTACATTTTACCTACTTTCCACTGATAGTAAATTAAATTTAGTCTTAAACAGTCATTTTGATCTTAATAACATCTGCAACTTCTCAACGATAAATTATAAAGTCATGGTTAGTCTTTCAGTAATTTGTCAGACTTATCCACTGCCGTATATTCAGTACCGTTTAAATAGTTTGGTTGCAATAACTTCAGTACTGTTCAGTAGCTTTTCAGACAATTTAGTATGAATAACAACTGCTGCTGAACAGTCTGAACATCGACAGAACATGACTACAAGTGAGTTGTCTGATCAGTACTAAATTTACCGCAGTGAATAACATAGACAAGTCTAAACATTTTTCTTAAAAGACTGAAAATATTCTTATAATATAATGCTCATTCGTTTAAGAGCTGTGCAGACCCAATTGACCGTTTCAGATCAAAATTGGTTTACTTGTGAATTTTAGCCTCACAAATAAACCGACGGTGACCTATAGTTGTTAATTTCTGTGTCATTTGGTCTCTTGTGGATAGTTGTCTCATTGGCAATCATACCACATCTTCTTTTTTATATATCTGTAGGAGTATTGAAAATTGGTAACTTGATAATTTCCAGAACGCTTGTTCCGATTGATACTACATAAAAACAAATTGGTGTAATCTAGAGCTAGATATTTGAGTTGTATCAAGAGACAAATGTTGACGAACAGTGTTGACCCTTGTTTTTCATTGATTAATGTTATAATACATTTGATGAATGACGGCTTCCCTGGAGAGTATTACGCAAGAATCATGAGATGAAAAATATTGTAGTTTATGTTCATGTTTATAATCAAACATCCCTATGAAGTTGAGGTTATAATGTCTTTGAGTTTCTGTTGTGAGGTGTTTTTAAGTTAACTACATATTTATCTGTTAATTGTTAAAAATATAGGATTTTCACATGTTTTTAGTTTCAGTAAATTAACAAATTATTTTGAATTAAGGTTGCTGGGTTGTCTTCCTCCATCTTAGATTTTGAAATAGCAGATAACAATCGGTCTAGATCTTTAATGAAATGTAGAAATTTCGAGAGTAATATGTAATTCATGTGTAAGACTTTTCATGTTGATAAAGAAAATTATGTGTTTTATCATATGTACGGCTGCATTTGACAAAAACACAATATTTTTGTTTGATTCATTTTTTTTGAAACTTTGCCACATAAGGGGAGATAACTCAGATAACACGTTATAATTGCATGCGTCAGAAGCGCTTTTCTGGACTTAACTGCACCAGGAACGCTCAAAGCCGAATATTTTAAAGCCAAGGATGTATAAAAACCGAAACAATTGGAGAGCTATATGACCAGTAAGATCATAAAACATTAGTCAAATCCATATAGGTCAACTTTGCCTGAGGGAGTTGAAACCTTAGTTTCTTATAATTTCAAAATGTATTAACGGACATTTGGAAAAGGTTTGTTATAGTTGTTATAAATCATGTCAGTACCGAAGTACTGACTAATGAGTTAATGATATCCTCGATGATTGATAGGCATCAAGCAGAGGTATCGACCTAGTGCTGTAAAAATGAAAACAACATTTAATTTAATAGACGATTTAAACATGCGTGAGAGTCTATAATCTTGAAATTTATGATACACAAATTTCAATAGCAGACATGTACAGTATGTCAAATTGATTGAACCCCTATACATGTTATACATATTATAGAAGTTGTTGATCTGAAGATGATTTTTTCTGATTTTAGGATTTTTACCTAATATCCGTTTTTCTTTTTTTAGTTTTAGCGTCCCAATTTAAGAAACAACAAAGTATTTAGCGTATTTCTTTATTTAAATTTTCAAATCTACGATAGTTAAATGAATCTATAAATAGCAAAATAGCCAAGATGATCAACAACTCAAGTTATATATATATACAAGTCAAGGGATTGAAATCGCAAGTGAACTTCATGAAGGAATTGTCACAATGACAACTTTTTCGTCACATTTATATAATTAAGGAGATGAGGCATGATTGCCAATAAAACAACTGTCTATCAGATACCAAATTGCCTGTAATCTTCTAATAGGAAACAAAACAGCAAAGATAACAATCAAGACAAAGATTTTAGACCACAAAGTGTCCATTTAATCCAAATACAATTTTCAATTTCATGCAAAAATGCCAGATGAACAGTATAAGATCATTCGAGCCTCTTGTTGTAAAGGAAAAGAGGAGTTATACAATATAGTTTTTTTGAAATTGTGGAATCGGACATGACATGTAGAGTGTTGAAGTTTTAATAGTATTACACATAATGTGAAAGAGAGATGTAAGATATCAAAGGGACATTCAAACTCATAAGTTGAAAACAAAATTATAATGCCATGGCAATACTTGCTTTAATGATATAGGAATAGATCTTTATGAAATTCAAGAAGCCGAATCTCTTTGACATCGCTACTTGAGTCATTTTAATTTACTTTACGTTGGACGTTCTTCATGTTCTTTTTATAGACTTTTGTAAATTTTCTATATCGATTATACAGAAATAAATACTTGTTTCTCTTAACAAAGAACGGCGTTCTCTTTTCTAAAACTATTTATTTCTCCTCGTTGTTCATGTGGGACTCCAAGGGTTGTTGATAATTTCCTGTTCTTTTTGTTCAGTAGTCCAAATAATGTTTGGTATATAAAACATTGTAAACGTGTGATATGTCGATTTAAGTCGTATATCATCGTAGTCATGCTAAAAGAGTTTTGCTTTAAAATCACGATCTTGCAAAAGAAGGCGGCGTAATGTGAAAAGCACGTCAGTAGCGTTTGACATTTCACTAAACAAAATACGATAACCTAGTGTTGATCAGACACTGCATACTGTATTTTAAATAGAATGATTCAAATGATACATTTAGCATATGTTTATGCTAATCAAGCTCTGCAAAGATACGGACCCTTTGAAGGTTACTATTATATTAATTTCTAAAAAAATATGACAGATAGGACTTACAACATATATAACCGCTTGTCAGTAGAGCTTCCGGTGTACTGTCATTCAAAAACGGCTTCTTAAATCCCGGTTTGTCTTAGTGTTCTAGCATTCCCATTTTGTGTTCTTGTTCATGAGAGAAATAAAAAAGAAAGTAAAAAGAGCACACTAAATTAAGCCGTTTGTAAAACAAATAGGATAAGATATAAGAATCGCTATAAAGTAGTTCTTTAAAAATAGGGCACCTGAAGCAACTGTCAAATGATTAAGTGTAATTTATTGATTTTAGTTAAGTAATAAATTTCAGTACGAATATTAATGTAATTCAAAATTCAAATAGTTTTAGTTACTAAATAGTTAAAATGGCTTTAATTTTTTACAAAGCAAAAACATTAATTTCACCAGCAAAACATTTATAAATAAAACGGGTATATTTGTACGTTACTTGTGAACAAATAACAATCCACATAATCATAAAGTCTAACTAAACTGATCATAAATTAAGACTTAAGTTAAACTTAAACTTCAAGTTTGTGACATCTGCTGATTTTTTTTCCAGGACCATCTTGAATACATTCAAGTTCAACTATTGTTTGATCCAGATATTTTATTTTATGACGTCATTTGTAGAAATAAATTTAGTGATGGTCAGATGATGAAGTCATATGAACATTATGAATGTTTTTTGTCGGTTGGCGATGGTAATTATATATTTAGTAATCTTGAAAAAAAAACACCATTCAACAAGTATACATGTACATTCATTTATACATACATTTATGGGCATCGTACGAATAACGATAGTTGTATTACTAATAGCTTGTAAAAAAAAATATTAGCTTGCGCAAATCAAAAGATCTAAGATGCTGTTGATAAATTGTTGAATAACTAAGTATATATATGTAACACTCATGAACGTGTCCATCCCCCCAAACGTGTCCGATTCCCCCAAACGTGTCCATATAATGTCACTGAACTCCAAAACATGTCAAGTTGTAAAAGGGCGCTAAAGCGTGTCATTTTTATAAACGCCAAAATCGTGTCCATTTTTATAAAAACGCCCAAACGTGTCCCCCGTTATTTGGTTATTGCTCTTTCATTGACGAATACTCCTTTTACTGTCTCATTGCAAATTTAAATATAGTCCTTTAGGCCTTTATCAAACTAACAGTATAACCCGTGCCAAAGTGGAGCCTCCGTTCGGCTATGTGGGATGTAAAAGTACGCAGCAATGTCATGTTATAATGTGGATATTTCCCACTCTCTGTACATTAAAATCCTTGTAACAACTCTTTTAGGGTGCCGTCGGTGGTATGCTGCAAGGCAACATTTTTGTCCTTTTACATATTCCCTTATTATCTAGTGACAGTTAGAATTTAGTTTATTTCAAACGGTCTCTATTATATTAAGGGGAATGAAGGAGTGTCATACTGAAGTCCCGAAAAATAAAAGCAGTCTTTCCCCGCTCCCAAAAATTATTATTTAATTCCGAGTCCCGATTAGTGTAAATTCCTAATAACCGTACAAATTTCGGCCCAATCCCAAAATATTATTTATTTATTATTATTTAATTCCGAGTCCCGATTAGTGTAAATTCCTAATAACCGTACACATTTAGGCCCAATCCCAAAATATTCTTCCACCTCTCATCATAGAACTTACCTTTAGTATTTATTATTAATATGTTGTCGTCCTGATAATGCATGAAATATTTGCCACCGGACGTAATGTCTCTTGTTTGTGTGTCTTTAAGTGATGCTTGAAACCCAAAATTTATAATTTAAACCTGAATACCAGTTTGTAATTTCAAGAACTTTTAAAAAATCTGAACTGTTGAAAAAAATGAAAACACCTCTGCAGGAAGCCGGCCGTGTACTATCCTCATACATGATTAATATAGTAAGGCATCACCGCAGTTTATTAGTACAAAATAATTAACTTAGTAAACGAATAATTTAAATGTACTAATCTAATTTTTACGTTCGCTCTAAATACTTGGCACTAGACATTAAGCAAGCAACAGTCACGTTTGGAGGAATCGGACACGGTGGGGGGAATCGGACACGTTTGGGGGGATGGACACGTTTGGGAGTGTTACATATATATATATATTAATACAATATTACATAAATGGACCATGCATGTTCCTTGTCGTTCACATAATGATGAATATCAAATGAAAATAAAAATCATATCAAAATTAATAGTGATATTTGGTTATAATAGCTGAAAATAAATTTAGAAGAAATAATGGAGAATATTTGTACTAGAAGTTAACTTTTTTCACTTGATAACTTAAAATTTAGTTCTTATAATTCCAATTACAAATATTTGTGTAATTTTGAATTTTTCTATTTAAAAAAAAATACATATAAAGACACAATTTGACAGAATTAGATATCGCAGAACAAGAAAAACATATTATCAAAAGGAAAATGATAAACAACAATTCACAAAGACAATCTCAGAAAACTAGATATCACACAAGACACAAATCTTCCCCGTAAGTGACACTCCATATATTACTTTTGTTAAAACCAAACGACAAGTTATATCATGGGTTTAAATTAAACATCTTTATATTGTATATAGTGTGTTCAAACCATGATTGCTTTAATTTCCTTTCAGAACCATTCCATTTGAATGTGACATTTAACTCTACGGAAGTCATCATAGCATCAACAACTGTAAATGTAATTAAATGCTCTGCGTTCCACAGGTATGTGAAATGTGAAAAGGGTAAATGATTTATGCACAATAAAATTAACATCATACGTTCATTCATTAGGATGATACATATATTTAGGTCTTTCCACTTTCCTCAGGTAAGAAAGACCTTTAGATTTTGTTCTGATTATTTATTTTTCTTCCGCTACTTTTTGATCTTGAGATTTTTGGTACATCGGATATCGAATAATGAATACGTTTACGCTTACTCCTTCGCAACCGTAGAAGAAATCGACAGAATTATTTTTGCAAATTGCTCGTTATATCCTAAGGATGTTTTCTTCGAAGCAATACAGAAACTCCATATGAGAGTTATTTCCCCTTCTGTATTTTACAAAGCTATAGATAATTATTACTCATGAACTGTAATCTATAGAGGTCAATTTTAATTTGATGTCCTTGGTCCACCAAAAGACATTTGAGGTCAAGGTCATGATCTAAATTTTAACTAGTGATTGTTTTAACTTTTCATCACAAAACGTAATAAATAATGATAAGATTTTTACCAAATTGTTCGTTGTGACATTGGTCGAAAGAGGACCGTCCCTTTTAAAAGGAATTTTTGCCCAGGAAAGTTGTATGGAGATATAATTAATGAACCATACATAGTAGATACCAAGGGTATATTGATTTGAGATCCTTTCTTTATGGCCTTGAAATTGAGGTCAAGGTCAAATGAGAATTTGACTTTCTAGATCTTGACCTTTATTATAACTTCATACTGGTTCATGATAAAGTCATTGAATTTTTTTCATTAGGTTTAGAGATTTCTAACCTTGAAAAATGCCATCCTTATGTGATCTTGAGTCAACCGGAAGTAGCATTATTTACACTTCTTTCAGGTAAAAGTACATAAAAAACAAATACATTTTTTAATCGGCATTTATAAACCTATTATTTCAAACCGGATGTCATCTTCTGGAAACCGGAAGTAGCAAATTATCCCCTTTAATTCCGGTAAAAGTATATCAAAATCATATATTTTTGGAATCAGTGTGAAAAAAGCTATCTTTTAATACCGGAAGTGACATGTTCTTAACCGGAAGTAGCAAATTATATCCCTTATTTTAGACAAAAGTACAAAGAAAACATATATTTTGGGAATCAGTATGAAGAAACTTTTGATTTGACGCTGGAAGTAGCTTAGATTAAACCGAAAGTGACTTCTTATCTTTGATTTTGAAATTCAATGTTTGAAAGACTTCTCTGAACAATTGGTTTCTTATTTCATCTTCTTCTTCTATCAATACAGAGTCGGACTCTTCTTGGGTATAAAATGACTCTTGCTCGTTTAATCATGAGGCCTTTCCTCCTCCATTCTAAAATCCAGCAGTAGCTATTTACAATATTTATATACAAATTAAAAGTATGTACATCTGGGATCTATGGAGTTTTAGATGTGTGAAGCTCATGTCAAGGCTTCAGGCAGAATACTAAGGCTACCCTTGAACTCTTCTAATGTAGATGATGTTAGGAAGAGAAAAATCAAGGAAATAACGTTATAATAAAATTTATATGTAGATTCTTTCACAACTTCCCGTTCACTTAACCACTCAATATAAATACATGTTCAAATTTAGAAATGCTATAATTATCTAGCATTTAAAATAGTAAACAATTAATTTAAGATAGTGGACAAACGTCGCAGACAACGGGGGACCGTAGAAAAACCTCTTTATCTAATTATTCAATTGAATGCTGGGAAACATGTTCCAAACGGATATTGCTGCAAAGTAACACAGCACAATATCAATAAACTTGTGGTTTTCTAAGAATTATGACACTAGACAGAACTGACATATTTTCGCGGTCTGATTTTATTTTGACTGAGTATGATCTTCATCAGGAATTCACAAATCCAAATATGAAAAAGTCAAGAATGAATCAATACTAGTATATGTTAAGAGATAGATACATTCGTGGATATTTAATTTTGTGGTTTTTCTAAATTTTGCATACGCTCGTTGAACATCTAAATTCGTGGTTTATCTATACCCACGAAATCCACGTAATTGGCATCCCATGAATATATATGAATCCACAGTAGTAGATTCAATGCTTGATTTAATACATTGACCCCCGATATTTATATGCATATGTCGTTAATGTGAAGTTTCATAAGCATTTTATAATTAAGAGTACATGCTTTAATTCAATACATGGAGTTTCAATATATATATAAATATATACAAGTCTAAATTGAAAACAACGTTCAAACCTATGATTGCGTTGGATAAAAACCGCAATTTTTATACGAGTGCATGCAAAACTAATTTCTTGGTAGAGAGGTCTAAATACAGCACAAACAACATTTTCCAAAAGACCTAACAAGTGAAAAAGTATATTTTAACAAAACGCATTTGACTAGCAGGTCGAACAATGGATGTTCTTAAACCCTGCTGACTGCCATTGGCGATTGCCAAATAAACGGGTCACCAGATGTAACAAAATGGATCTTAACTATTAATTTAATACCAAACAGAAAACAATAAACTTGCGGAAAAGATGGTATACCGCAAACAAAAGGTGCAAAAATTAGTACTCCATATCCGGATTACGACAATTAATGTCTCTTCAGTGATGTTAGGAATCGAAACGGTATTTGGAAGGCCATATAATTTACCTCAATTTAGGATAGACTCTTGAATTTTGAAGAGTCGAAATAGGATGAACGGATCATATAAACCCGAAGGCAAATATAATACAAGCCCAAACGAAAAAATATAAACAAGTCTAAATTGAAAACAACGTTCAAACCTATGATTGCGTTGGATAAAAACCGCAGTTTTTATACGTGTGCATGCAAAACTAATTTCTTGGTAGAGGGGTCTAAATACAGCACAAACAACATTTTCCAAAAGACCTAACAAGTGAAAAGTATATTTTAACAAAACGCATTTGACTAGCAGGTCCAACAACGGATGTTCTTAAACCCTGCTGACTGCCGTTGGCGATTGCCAAATAACCGCATTACCAGATGTAACAAAATGGATCTTAACTATTAATTTAATACCAAACAGAAAACAATAAACTTGCCGAAAAGATGGTATACCGCAAACAAAAGGTGCAAAAATTAGTACACCATATCCGGATTTGGACAATTAATGTCTCTTCAGTGATGTTAGGAATTGAAACGGTATTTGGAAGGCCATATAATTTAACTCAATTTAGGATAGACTCTTGAATTTTTAAGAGTCGAAATAAAATGATCGGATCATATAAACCCGAAGGCAAATATAATATAAGCCCAAACGAAAAAATATAAACAAGTCTAAATTGAAAACAACGTTCAAACCTATAATTGCGTAGGATAAAAACCGCAATTTTTATACGTGTGCATGCAAAACTAATTTCTCGGTAGAGGGGTCTAAATACAGCACAAACAACATTTTCCAAAAGACCTAACAAGTGAAAAAGTATATTTTAACAAATGCATTTTACTAGCAGGTCGAACAACGGATGTTTTTAAACCCTGCTGACTGCCATTGGTGATTGCCAAATAAACGCATCACCAGATGTAACAAAATGGATCTTAACTATTAATTTAATACTAAACAGAAAACAATAAACTTGCGGAAAAGATGGTATACAGCAAACAAGAAGGTGCAAAAATTAGTACACCATATCCGGTTTCGACAATTAATGTCTCTTCAGTGATGTTAGGAATCAAAACGGTATTTGGAAGGCCATATAATTTACCTCAATTTTGGATAGACTCTTGAATTTTGAAGAGTCGAAATAGGATGAACGGATCATATAAACCCGAAGGCAAATATAATACAAGCCCAAACGAAAAAATATAAACAAGTCTAAATTGAAAACAACGTTCAAACCTATGATTGCGTTGGATAAAAACCGCAATTTTTATACGTGTGCATGCAAAACTAATTTCGTGGTAGAGGGGTCTAAATACAGCACAAACAACATTTTCCAAAAGACCTAACAAGTGAAAAGTATATTTTAACAAAACGCATTTGACTAGCAGGTCCAACAACGGATGTTCTTAAACCCTGCTGACTGCCATTGGGGATTGCCAAATAAACGCATCACCAGATGTAACAAAATGGATCTTAACTATTAATTTAATACCAAACAGAAAACAATAAACTTGCGGAAAAGATGGTATACCGCAAACAAAAGGTGCAAAAATTAGTACACCATATCCGGATTTCGACAATTAATGTCTCTTCAGTGATGTTAGGAATCGAAACGGTATTAGGAAGGCCATATAATTTACCTCAATTTAGGATAGACTCTTGAATTTTGAAGAGTCGAAATAGGATGAATGGATCATATAAACCCGAAGGCAAATATAATACAAGCCCAAACGAAAAAATGTAAACAAGTATAAATTGAAAACACTCTGATTGCGTTGGATAAAAACCGCAGTTTTTATACGTGTGCCTGCAAAACTAATTTCTTGGTAGAGGGGTCTAAATACAGCACAAACAACATTTTCCAAAAGACCTAACAAGTGAAAAAGTATATTTTAACAAAACGCATTTGACTAGCAGGTCGAACAACGGATGTTCTTAAACCCTGCTGACTGCCATTGGCGATTGCCAAATAAACGGATCACCAGATGTAACAAAATGGATCTTAACTATTAATTTAATACCAAACAGAAAACAATAAACTTGCCGAAAAGATGGTATACCGCAAACAAAAGGTGCAAAAAATAGTACACCATATCCGGATTTCGACAATTAATGTCTCTTCAGTGATGTTAAGAATCGAAACGGTATTTGGAAGGCCATATAATTTACCTCAATTTAGGATAGACTCTTGAATATTGAAGAGTCGAAATAGGATGAACCGATCATATAAATCCGAAGGCAAATATAATACAAGCCCAAACGAAAAAATTTAACAAGTCTAAATTGAAAACAACTTTCAAACCTATGATTGCGTTGGATAAAAACCGCAATTTTTATACGTGTGCATGCAAAACTAATTTCTTGGTAGAGGGGTCTAAATACAGCACAAACAACATTTTCTAAAAGACCTAACAAGTGAAAAAGTATATTTTAACAAAACGCATTTAACTAGCAGGTCTAACAACGGATGTTCGTAAACCCTGCTGACTGCCATTGGCGATTGCCAAATAAACGGATCACCAGAAGTAACAAAATGGATCTTAACTATTAATTTAATACCAAACAGAAAACAATAAACTTGCGGAAAAGATGGTATACCGCAAACAAAAGGTGCAAAAATTATTACACCATATCCGGATTTCGACAATTAATGTCTCTTCAGTGATGTTAGGAATTGAAACGGTATTTGGAAGGCCATATAATTTACCTCAATTTAGGATAGACTCTTGAATTTTGAAGAGTCGAAATAAAATGATCGCATCATATAAACCATAAGGCAAATATAATACAAGCCCAAACGAAAAAATGTAAACAAGTCTAAATTGAAAACAACGTTCAAACCTATGATTGCGTTGGATAAAAGCCGCTATTTTGATACGTGTGCATGCAAAACTAATTTCTTGGTAGAGGGGTCTAAATACAGCACAAACAACATTTTCCAAAAGACCTAACAAGTGAAAAAGTATATTTTAACAAAACGCATTTGACTAGCAGGTCGAACAACGGATGTTCATAAACCCTTTTGACTGTCATAGGCGATTGCCAAATGAACGGATCACCAGATGTAACAAAATGGATCTTAACTATTAATTTAATGCTAAACAGAAAACAATAAACTTGCGGAAAAGATGGTATACCGCAAAAAAAAGGTGCAAAAATTAGTACACCATATCCGGATTTCGACAATTAATGTCTCTTCAGTGATGTTAGGAATCGAAACGGTATTTGGAAGGCCATATAATTTACCTCAATTTAGGATAGACTCTTGAATTTTGAAGAGTCGAAATAAAATGATCGGATCATATAAACCCGAAGGCAAATATAATACAAGCCCAAACGAAAAAATATAAACAAGACTAAATTGAAAACAACGTTCAAACCTATGATTGCGTTGGATAAAAACCGCAATTTTTATACGTGTGCATGCAAAACTAATTTCGTGGTAGAGGGGTCTAAATACAGCACAAACAACATTTTCCAAAAGACCTAACAAGTGAAAAAGTATATTTTAACAAAACGCATTTGACTAGCAGGTCGAACAACGGATGTTCTTAAACCCTGCTGACTGCCATTGGCGATTGCCAAATAAACGCATCACCAGATGTTACAAAATGGATCTTAACTATTAATTTAATACCAAACAGAAAACAATAAACTTGCGGAAAAGATGGTATACCGCAAACAAAAGGTGCAAAAATTAGTACACCATATCCGGATTTCGACAATTAATGTCTCTTCAGTGATGTTTGGAATCGAAACGGTATTTGGAAGGCCATATAATTTACCTCAATTTAGGATAGACTCTTGAATTTTGAAGAGTCGAAATAGGATGAACGGATCATATAAACCCAAAGGCAAATATAATACAAATACAAACGAAAAAATATAAACAAGTTTAAATTGAAAACAACGTTCAAACCTATGATTGCGTTAGATAAAAACCGCAATTTTTATACGTGTGCATGCAAAACTAATTTCTTGGTAGAGGGGTCTAAATACATCACACACAACATTTTCCAAAAGACCTAACAAGTGAAAAAGTATATTTTAACAAAACGTATTTGACTAGCAGGTCGAACAACGGATGTTCTTAAACCCTGCTGACTGCCATTGGCGATTGCCAAATAATCGGATCACCAGATGTAACAAAATGGATCTTAACTATTAATTTAATACCAAACAGAAAACAATAAACTTGCGGAAAAGATGGTATACCGCTAACAAAAGGTGCATTAATTAGTACACCATATCCGGATTTCGACAATTAATGTCTCTTCAGTGATGTTAGGAATCGAAACGGTATTATATATATATATATATAAAATGTCTGAATAATAGTCAACGATCTCTCCCACGAGGGCGCTGGATCGTTACGAGTAACGATACATGTACACAATAAATAAATTATATAAACGCCTGAAAAGTGTACAAAACAACACCAATAACAAAAAAAAGAAAACTATAAATGTAATTATTTATAAATATTTCGGATAACAGATATCCTTCATCAGTATGATTATGATCATGGATGTCAAATGAATCATATCAATCTACTTTGATTAAACTATATATGTCTGTATGTTTACTGTGTCTTACTAATATCTATGTTGTTGACTGATCTGTGTTGTCAAATTTAGATTGGATCTTTTGTATTGTATATTGTATCTACTACTATGTAAAAAAACTATAACAAGATATGTATCTTTCGTTTACAATTTTCTAGAAATGTCTACAAACCTTATCATAAAATGTATTCACAGTTGCGGTGCATGCGTAAATACAACGGCTTGTTTTTGGTGTCTTGACGCTGTATCCTGTGTTAGACATGCAGCAACCTGTATTACCGCAGTTAACATTTCGGTAAGGTACATAGCATATTTTTTTACGGCAATATTTATTCATATGCATTATTGCCAAAGCAACATATGTACATTTTTCAACAATTGTTGCAGTCTCATTACAGTTTAGTCATACCATTTGGTCGATGCAGCTGCTTGTTAAGGTTTCCCCTCTGAGGGTATCATTAGCCCAGTGTGGTCAGCACTTCTGTGCTGACGTGAATTATCATTTATATTGTCATAATTATAACTCAACTGTTTACTTTACTTTGAAATTTTGGAAATACTTAGGATGTTCTACCCCAGGAATAGACTACCTTGGCTGTGTTTGGCAAAACATTTCAGAATTGTGGGTAATCAATGCTTTTCAACTTCGTACTTTATTTGGCTTTTTTGACTTTTGATTCGAGTGTCATCGAAATCTCAAGCATACGCATCATGACCGACAATGGGGTCGAACTCAGACGATACGAAAGAGTAAGAGTTTATAGTAAGTGTGACCCGTCTTGTTAATTATTGCCTGTACAACTTGAACAGTCTATAGCTAGATATGTACTTAAAGTAGAAAAAATTAAAAAAAAAATTAAATGCAATTATAATGCAGTTAGCTCCTAACGTTTCTTTTTACACCCCTGGTTTTCAAATGTTATTTTTATTTAATCTGAAGGACTTTTTATATAAAGGAAAACAATTGTTTTATGGTATGATATCAACATTCTTATAAATTTACGAATATTCCATAAAACCTAAGAGTTTGCCGGGGTTCTTTTTTATTTTATTTTGCGCTTTTTTTTTTTTTTTTTTTTAGAGCTTTTTATGGGGAGTCTGTCAAACATATTTAATTGTACTATAAATGAATTAAAATTGAAATGTCAGTTTTTTATTCCCATCACACGGTTATACCGGAACTATGAAGATAACGAATGACATAACATGATCTTTACTTGAATAAGAAAATGTAAAAATACAATTAATTAACAGGACTTTTTATTTATTTCAATGAAAACAGATTACCTTTTTTACCACTTATACTAAATCTAGCTTCAATTTCAAATAGATTCCGTTATTATTACGGGGAAAGAAACTCTTTATGAGTACCTACCAGCAATGCTGAACACTACAATTCTATATTAAGTAATGTGTAAGTACCTAAAACCTGATGAGCTTTATGACCAAACAATACCTAAAAAGAGTGGCAAAATATATACAAGAGAACCATTGCTTGAGAGAGTATAAACTTAGTTTGTGAACAAATCACTGAATATTGAGTTGATGATACCTTCGGGGACTATGATCCACTTGTAATGGTGTCAACCAAGTAGTGAACCATTAATTGAAAAAAATGATAAATTTGCAGTGTCCGAACGCTTTTTTCTATCTTTGGCTCTCAATTGTTTAATTTGTTCGGCATGAACTTTTCTTTCACAATTCTATAATAACATGAATAACATTCATTTTCAATTATATTATACTACCTTTTTCCCTAAATAAACGTTCAAAATATCTTTTTTATATTCCAATAATCATGATAATAACTAAATTTCGCAATGTGAAGCATTGTGAAGATCGATGATTTTATTTTTATATTTGTTGAGGTATATAACCTTAATTGGTCTAAATGAATAACACAAAAAAAAAATCCAAAAAAAATGTAACATCTTCTTATTTTCAGCAATATCACTGGCTCTTAACCCCAATTACGGGAATTCCTGTTTAATTTATTTCAAATGTATGCCCTAAAAGGTTTTTTCTTTGTATATTTGGTCGCTTAAGAAAGTATTGGTCACAATTTTGGTTTCTTAATACATTAATTTGTATACACCATGGCGTATTTAGTTAATTCTTAGTCATTGATTGGCAGTAATTACATATTTGTTCAACCAGGCATACAAGTATTTTAAAAGCCTTGTGTCGAGTGCTTAGTGCCTTTTCCAACTGTTTTTACAGTTTGTTTTTATTATATTATACTGTACCACCATTGTTCCAAAATCACATCGGTGGTCTCCGTAAAAGCGTCTTCGAGTGCCGGAGTGTGTGGTTTCAATCATCGGCTGAAACAAACCAAGTTTTTGAAATTTCGTATTTGCTGCTATCCCGCTAAGCACGCGGCATTTAGTAGTAAGAGCAAACAGTGGTCGGCTCGGAGTCAGAATTATGTGTCAAAGTATTCCCGCGAACTGTTACCTAGTGAACTAGCACCAAAAAACACCGGTTTATAATATGTATGTATTGAATATGCATTTAATTTGCCCCTGGACGTTAAACAGCCATCCTTTAATCTATATACTGTCACAAGTTAGAGGGAGGGTTGAGCATGAAACATGTTTGAGCCTCATCATTCATAATGCGCCTGTGCCAAGTCAGGAGCCTGTAATGCAGTTGCTGTCGTGTGTTACTTTATATCATATTTGTTTCAGATTTATTGTTTTAGCATATCAGGCCGTTTATGTTTCGTGTTTACAATTGCCATGTCAAAACTGTTAGAGCTTATTATGCGGTTTGGGTTTATTCATTTATTTAGACCGTTAGGCTACTTATAGTTGCTACATTTACGTTGTTTTGTCACTGTTGGATAGTTCTACCATTGACGATAAGATTACAAATTGTGGTATATATCAATAAACAGTAATGCTAAGGGGGATAGGGGGCAAATATTGTCTATTGTACAATTGCATAGAAATACGGTCTAAAACTTTTGATTTTGTTTAATATAAGGTTTTATTCGTTTAGTGTTTGTTTGTTTTGTTAAGTATTTTTTTTTTTTTGGTTAAAGATGACAGAAAACCAATGTCCAAGATTAACAAGTACTAAGGTATTGATACAGGCTAGCGGCAAAACTGAAAATTTGATGATAAATGTCGTTAATTTATATAAATATGTAAGTACATAATTTGTATTTTAGTTCAAAAAATATTATGTCAATCTATTCAACAAATGTTTTTATTTGAAGGCAATACTTTCATGTTTTGCATTTGGAAGCATCTTACTACAAATATATATAGTTTTCACCTCAATACAACACGTTATATGAATTACTATAATATTTTGGCAATTTAACTTGAATTTGTAATAGACAGTTAACCAGATCATGCAGATGACATACAGCGATCTTTCTGATCACTGCATTTAAGGGGTAAACTTTTGCTTTGCCGTTCACTTTTTCCTTTCAATAACAATCTCAGCCAAACATAAAAGTCAACTACAATTCTTAATACTTTTTTGTTCTTCCATTAAATTCTTGAATTCTACTAATTCGCCAAATAGAAGACAATAGCCTATATTCAATTTTAAAATGAAATATAGAGATGTATGTTATATCAGCACATTATCTTAAAAAAGGGTTCTATTAAGATATATATTATCAGCAACAATTGCTATTAATGTCTTGTTCAGTCCATTCAAATTATGAGTTTGTACTTAACTATTCATATTTTTACCTGCATGCAAGTCTTTTGATTTTAAGAATTTTTAGGGTAATAGCACGGAGAAACTGCGATGTGTTGTTGGTGATGAGGAGTACGCTGTTGTGGTATACGACTCATATACTGTTGTATGTCAGGATATTAAGGTATTTATACATGCTATACATTGTTTAATGATATAAAAATTGGAAGCAAAGGTAGATTACCGATGATCATATCTCACAAATCAATTAAGTATATACAATTAAACATCTTATAGGTAAAAAACATAAGATAAGTACATGGCAGAAATACCAAACGGATGGTCTTCTACATAACTCTATCAGATCAGTTTTGCAAGTGACACACCCATGTTAATGTTGACGGTATAATAATATATAATGTGAACATGTAAGGACGTCACGTAACGTATCAACATTATTAAGATATGTCTACACCGAACAATAAGGCGGCGGAATTGTTACTGATGAGAATGTTACAATTTGGAATTTGATATCATAATGTGTATCATAAATCATAGTATGGAGTCGTCTGTATTTATATCAAGTAGCGGATCAAGATATGAATCAGACCTTGAAGTTTCATTAGTATGTTTAATGTTAAGAAAACTAGGCTATCACAAATATAGCACTCACTTAAATGTCAGTAATGTCAGTACTGGGGCGACAAGATATCGACACTAAAAATTACTTTAGTTTGCAATTCAAGATGTTTCTCTCTTGTCCATATTATTGTTTGTCTTGAATTCTGCTTAATATGCCACGGTCAGAAACGTCAGAATCGTCGGCCAATAAATGTGCGAAACTATTAATCAACATAACACATCAATGTTGTCGGTCAAAAAATCCAGTATTTTATTGTATGTTGGAATTGGTGTATTTCTTTTCAAAGTTAATTTGACGAGATCTAAAACAAACGTATCGAAATTACGGTTCCAATGTTTATATAAAAAGCACTATTTAATGTGCAGATGCAGTCGGTCTTCCAATATAGCATTTGTTATTGTATTGTAGAGTGACGAAAATTCATAGGTTTTATTTATTACAATACTAAAATGATTTGGATTATTGATTTTGATGTATATTTTAAGAATCAACGTCTGGTTTTAATTGATGGGAGTTAATTAATTTTGATATTGTTTTTTTTTTATATACAAATGACGCTGTTGTTATTGGTATTGTAAATGACAGATTAATTATGATGAATTAACATAAATTCCTAACGTTTGGACTGTCGCTATAAACCTAAAGCTGGCTGCCAATCCAACTGGCAGATTGTGATAGTCTTTTTCATATCAGGAACATATATTGCCACCTGAGAGTAAAAAACAGTTTGTTAAAAAATATATTTTGTACCATCATAACATTGTCGTTTTGCTTAAATTATGTATAGTTCTATCAGGTTTAACCTGGATTGTAAAAACTTGCTATAATTCACACGGCTTCCTTGAGTAGGACTTGTGCTTGGTTCATAAGTGTTTCTCGTTTCTCGTTTTTTATATGGCTTAGACCGTCGGTTTTCCTGTTTGAATGGTTTTTACACTAGTCATTTTTGGGGCCCTTTATAGCTTGCTGTTCGATGTGAGCCAAGGCTCCGTGTTGAAGGCCGTACTTTGACCTATAATGGTTTACTTTTACAAATTGTGACTTGGATGGAGAGTTATCTCCACATCTTCTTATATCTATGAAATCTTTGACATCAACGAACATTGAATTTGGCATGGATTCATACTTCTTATATTCAATTTGCAATGTTCTAATAGCAATAATAATAAAGTTCAAACAACATTACGGTAAACTTTTTAACTGTGTCATTATGAAATATCACTTCTGCAGAATGCTTTTCATCCAATTTCAAACAGTTTAGACACACACAAACACACAGGTGTTTAGGTTAGTTCTAAGGATTTGAATTTAGAGATCTTTTAATATGTCTTACTTTCCCTTAACTTACTGGTAACATTACACTGTTTATTCTGATATGTCCACTGTTGTCTATTTGACAGTATTACTGGTATTTGTATGTGTTTACCTGTAACATTTTCTACTTATTTGACTGTTAGTATATTCTATATCAAGAGAGCATACCTTGTCGACGCATACGATCTCTACCCGTTTGAATAAACAACTAGACCGATTGCTTTTTTTTTTCCAAAGTTTATTTTTTGATAGCTTGTTAACTGAACATTCCTTCTAGTTGTGTTTAAAAGCATTGAACTACTTGAAAACTAAACTTAGACAATTTGTAATTCAAAACTGTTTGTTTGCATTAGTTTGATATCCTTGACAAAACTATCGTCTCTGGTTCGGTTGATATTAGACGAACGTTGGATATTAACAGACAAAAAAATATTCATGATCATTTGTTTTTTCATTGAAAACAATGTTTCATCAATTTGTCAATTTAACAAAACACATTCTTCCTTGATAACAGAGGAATCGCTTCGCAATTGTCAAACATGAAATATGAGCATTTATGTATGATAGAAAATGTAGTGTATACTCGTACATGTAGCATATATTTCAGATGATCTTGATATCAAAAAATTATATTCAATAAAATCTACAGCTACGTGTTTTGTAGGCCCCTAAATCAGACATAACGAAATTGTATCTTGAGTATGATGGTTCAAGGTTAGATAATGCTGCCGATGTAGAAGGTAAGGTTTTGAAACGATAAGTAACTTTCTACCTTACAGTGCAATGATGTTTAAGAATATTTAATAGAAACAATGGTACACTCTAAAGTTGTTGTCTTTTTTATATATTAGGCCACACCAATTTGATTCGTAGTTCTTCGGACAAAATCTCCAAAAAAAATGGGGCGAGCGAGCGAAATTTTTTTTATTGTATTTTTTTCTTGAATAGAGTTTTTATGAGGCGAGTGCTCTACAAGTGAAACGAGCGGTAAAATTTTTTTTTTAAATTGTGCGATTTAGAATTCATGTACATGTTAAAACTGGGTTACTTCATAGAAAAAGGAGAAGAAACATGCTCTAATGCATATAATTTGATGGATTGGCGCATGAACCATACCCAACTTTCTTGTCTCGCTGGGGTTTAGTTAATTTATAATTATTTTCGTCAAATAAGCTTTGTCTGCGTGAATTTTCATTAAAATTCATACATGTGTATATATTAAGGAAGCATAGCAGATGCAGTTTAACAAGAGGATTATGCACAGGCACTTGTCTCAGAAAAAAAATTTCCTATATACCTTAATATAATACGTTAATAAGGTATATAGGGGGAAAAAATTCTGAAACAAGTGCCTGTGGAATTATGTTAGTTAGGTAAATGACATATATTGAATAAAATTTAAATATGTGTACATGTATGTACCAAAAAAAATGCCCCTGCAAAATATTAAATATTTTTTGATATAGTTGTTTTCATTATATCTATATATGGTAATGATTGTTTATTGGCTGCTTGATGTCCACTTTGAACTATTTATCCATACAAAGGATCAACATAATGAGTGAGGTGAATATTTCAACATCATGAGTAAGATATTTATATTGCTATGCATGTAGATCTCAATGTATTAAAATATTCCCTTAAAATACTTGTCACAACATTCACATACATTATTCTGACAGCAAAATACTCTTTCCTTTTGCTCCTAAAAGCTGCAATGCATTTTAAACTCTTTAGCTTAACTAGAAGTGGTTGAACCAATTACACATCCCTAATTGTTATGAGCATGCCAATTACAATACCACCACTTTGGTCTCGAACGTTGGAACTCTTAAATTTTCCCTTACAAAAGATTTCTGCTTGTATGCCAATAGACTAACAATGGGATATGGACTTTCATCAAAATAAGATAAATCTGTGATTTTTTTAAAATTCAAGGGAATTTAATATTAATTTCATCCAAGATAGATAGGTTTATAAAACAACAAACATTGTAGATACATTTGTACAAAACAGCAGCCGGTGTTTCAAAATTCCACATAGCAAATCTGAACAATATAAACCGTCATTCTTTGTAAAAACATTTTTTTACTGGAATAGACTACCAAACAATCTCGTGTGTACCAATACAATTGAGAGCTTTAAAACTTTGGTTGCTCTCACATCGTTGGATTAATTTTCCAGCGCCTCTCTTACGTTGGCGTTGCCATTGATGCCTATCCTGGCCCTGCAACGTACTTATTCAGATTCAGGTCTATGTCTGTTGAAACAATAATCCGGGATGACGATGGTTCTAACGAACATTGATGTGATCGTGGTCATCTAAAGACAGATTTTTAATATTTGTCTCCTAGAACAGATCTTTATAGACAAAACGAGATGCATTTCGGATAACTGTGTGTTCAGTAACTACTTGTCCACGACAATGAGCTGACACAACTACATGTTGGCATCCCGATTTTTGACCTTTTATTTACAATTCGATTTATCACACGTGCGTTTGAATCGAACGGAGCAATATATGCACAAGAAAAACGTCTATGTGAAAAAAAAATTTCAAGGAGAAACAAAATTTGGAGCGGCATGCGGCCCAAAAATTTGCGGAAGTGGTAATTTTTTTTATTTATTGAAAAGTCAATTTCTCCAAAACAGGAGCGGGAAAATCCAAAGAACTATTAATCAAATTGGTGTGGCCTTAGCTTCAAAAATAGTGTTTTAGGCAACGGTATTTACTAATTTGTATATTAAATTGTCATGTATATTACAAATTTGATTGTAAGAAATATGTCCATCATTTACTGTATTCAAAGCAGTTTTCTTAAATGGCAGTAGTGAGGGACCATCGATGACTTTCATCTGTTGTAAATGATGGTTTTCTCTTTAAAATGCAGTGTTTTTTTGTTGGATCAAAATCTTACCCAACCGTTCAAAATTGCTAAATATTCTCCACTCAGTTTGTTGTCGATGAGATGAAAGATTATATGTATATGCATGTTTATGCATATTGAATTTTTTTTAAGTATATGGATGTTTGGCTATTGTTATTTTAGTTTATGGATGTAATGACTTTAGTAGCAGTTGCGGAGTTTGTAAATATCATAAAACCCAGGGGTTCAAATGTGATTGGTGTGGATCATGCAAAACTACAATTGATGGTGCACCAGAGAAATGTAAACAAGACGAATTTGTTCAATGTCATCTTTCAGTATCAGAGGTAATTTTTTAAAGAAACTATGTTGATTAACCATTTATGCGCATTTTTTATTTGAAAAGTCCTTGAAATCGTTGCTGAATAGTTTTCATAGAAGTATCTAAATAACGTTTATCATAAACTAGTAAAATTTACAATGTCGAGACAATATCATCTGTAATTTTTTACCAGATTTCCGAAGGAAAATGGGTTATTGATTTGGGGATGTACGGCTCATCCGGGCGGGAGGCTGCCAAACAGTGTCCGTGCATTTACTCATGAACCGTTCAACCAAAGCTTTTCAAATTTTAATATGGTGTTACTGATGACAAAATGAAAGTCATGTTTAAAATTGATGATTTTCACTTTCACTGTTCAGGAGTTATGGTTCTTGAAAGATTGAAAAATGGTATTACCAGTCGTGTCCGTGCTTTAACTCATGAACCGTTCAACCAAAGATTTTAAAATTTTAATATGTTGTAACTGATGACAAAATGGAGATCAAGTTCAATATTGACGATTTTCACTTTCACCGTTCAGGAGTGGTGGTTCTTGAAAGATTGAAAAATGGTGTTTACAGTCCTGTCCGTGCTTTAACTCATGGACCGTTGAACTAAAGCTTTTCAAAATTTAATAAGTTGTTACTGATGACAAAATGGTGGTCAAGTTCAATATTGATGATTGTCACTTTTACCTTTCAGAAGTTATGGTCCTTGTGATATTAAAAAAATGCCAGTACATCAACTGTCAAGATGAAGAACAGGAATAAAAGCCCTGTTCATTGATAATTTTCTATGTTCTCTATGTATTGTGTGCGATTTTGTCCCATGTACATTTACTCCATACCATATCCTTTAATTTTTTTTAGGACACAAATAAATGTTAAAAAATCTGGTTTGCTGTCACTCTGACAGCCTCTTGATATACCTTGATTTTCCCCGTGGTAGATGTACCGGTTTTTTATATTTTTTGTGTGAAATTGGTTTTTTTCCTCAAATGCATTTACATGATGTAGATATTGAACAATCTTACAAAAATATTGAGTTGACTGAATACTCAAGATAGTCAATGTTTTTTTAATTTTTTGAAATGTATTTGTAAATGTTATTCCTAATTGTATTAAAGATAAGTATCTTCACATTCCAACTCACAATTCAACAAATAAAAATGTTTGATTTTGTGTTTCGAGCACAATGTGTGTATTCCGAGCACTGGGTTAAGTTTTATGACCGCAGCCCTCGTTGTTTGGATTTCTTTTTTCATGCTACCTAAAAGTTTTTTATGGCAATTACAGGTGTATCCATCTGCAGGGCCTGAATTTGGCGGAACTGTGATTAACATTACTGGAAGTAATATTGGTAACAGAGGAGATAATATTTCAGTTACCATAAATGGTGTTGATTGCGAAAATGTGACAGTTATAAAACCATCTACTGTGTAAGTGCATCTTTAGGATTTGATTACTCAGACATCTGGTATTTTTTTACTTGTATCAGAGTTTCAAACAACCTACTCAAATAATCTTTTTTACCCCCGATCGAATTATTGGAATAACATTCGATAAAATAAGCAATTATCCCCTCTTTAAAGGTCCTTTTCGTAGACAAAAATATACTAAATGTACAACTGAGAACGGCATACTCGTGGTTGTTTTGATTGTATAGGTATATTATCCAATCTTCAATGAAAAACGTTGTAATTTGCATAACAGATTTAATTAGTTGAACTTCGTATCTTTACGTTTATCTAGATATTGACAATTATCTTACGATTGTTTTTTAATGAAACTTACGAAAACTGATATAATGACTTTGTACATCGTGGTATGGAATATATATCAACTCATACGATATTGCGGAACATGCTTTCCTATCTGACATACTTTGTAGAGGATAGTAAATTTCTGTGTGGCTCTTCAGCGAAGTTTTTTATTGAAATTTTGAAGAAATAAAAGTGTGCAATTTTGTTCAATGTCAACAGATGTTTTACATTAAAAAGACCCTATTGAAGTTAGACCGTGTATATTTACGCCAAACATTTTTCATTTTAAGCTGAAAAAATAGATTTTGCAAAATACGCTACAAATTTTAAAGTTAATTGGTTTGATAAATGTAACAAAAATCTGTTGAAGTCACTTCTGAAAAATCATTTTCGTTATGAGATTTGAAATTTGTAATTTTCATGAGATTACATTATTTGATTTCACGAGCAATCGTTGAAAAAATCATATTTTAACCACACTGTGAATATTTGGTGCTGACATGTCATATATCCCAGTGAACTTGAGATTAAGGATACTACCGAAACTATAAGGTCTGCTTCATAGCTTGATAATCTCCTTGATTTTGACACCGATGAAGTATTTCAAACTATATAGAATGCAATACACAAGTGATATTTTCTACTTTTCCATTCTCTACTTCCCGTTCATCAACAGTTAAATCTCTTCAAAGATAACAGCCTTATAATTTGATACGAACGACGTGTTTTAACATACTCTCTGCCCCATTGTTATCTATACAAGAATTGTTTGACCAATACTCAATATACAGCCATCAGGATTTCGCGTTTGTTTTTGTTGCACTTCAGTGTTTCTTTTGTTCCGTTGTTTTATTCTTATAGTTGATGTGTTTCCCTTTGTTTTAGTTTGTAACCCGAATTTGTTTTCTCTCAATCGCCTTATGACTTTTGAACAGCGGTATACTATTGTTGCCTTTATTTAAGATATGTAGATAACAGAAGGTGGTCTGATGGTCGTCTGATGTGTAGACTTGGCTATTGAGTTGTATTTCCGATTGTGACATATTGACTGCATGCATAGCGATACACTTTCTCTGCCGCCACATCTGATCTTGATCCTTTTGGAGTTAATGCCATTGACTCATTATTATTTTTTGTATTTTCTCCTTGCCTGTTTCGGTTCTTATACTAGCGATTCTACCTGAAGATATTTGGATATAGATACTAACACAAATCTTTACCGGAAGTTGTGATGATATAAAATAATTAAAAGACCGACACGGATAAAAATAATAAACAATGTCAAAATGTTCAGGCTTTGATTTAATCTTTATTTCGGTACGTTGTTGCAAACATACGATTGGTATTGTTTCTTATACAGTTAGAGGCTAATAATATTTAAAAGAATATACTAAAGTAACGTGAAAACAAGATATATATATAAGATATGAACATCGAGTTTTTAAGTGCATTTTTCAGAGTAGGTTTTAACACATTTCAAATAACTAAACTTTTCTGTGGATTGCATTCGTTAGCAGTCAAATTTCAGTACATAAACGACTGTTGGTTATATTGATAATTTTGGAACTTCATAGCAGCTGGAGTTTTAAATAGTTCTGTCTTCAAAATCTGTATTTATCTCGTTTATGATTTTGATAAGGATTTTTTCCATTCTAACAAATGATTTCATCACGTTATAAAACATACATTTTTATATTTGATTAGATGGTCTGAAGATAAATAAGACCCTATTTAGTGTAGCCCTCACAGTTTCCTTTAAGTGATCTGATTTACAAAATTACTAGAACACTGACAGGGAAAGTGGCATTAGAATCCTTCAATCAAATAATTAATATGTTGACTGACATACAAGAAAGCGACAATTAATATTCCCTGCTAATTGTTATATGCTAGTGGATAAAGGTAAACCGTCATTCTAAGCATAATTTATAAATCTAAAGTGTAAATGTTGATGAGTTGTGTAATCTTATCTATTTTTTAAAGCCTAATAAAATATATTTTTTCAGTATCAGTTGTTTAACTTGCAATGCATCTGCAAGCACACAGAACGGAATAGAAGTCACGGTAAATGAAGTCCTTAGCCCTTTAGCAAGACACAAATACACTTTTCGGGTAAGTTACATAAGTTGTGGCTTAATGGAAAAGTGTAAGAGAAAGTAACATATCACACAACAACAAAAATGAAGTCTTCCGATGACAACAAAAGAATTTATTTACTAAACAATATATGTCCTAACTTATCTTGTACACCTATAATTACGAAATATTCATATAATCAACTTTAATGTATATATAAGAAAACAGATTTTGAAAATTTTACTACAATCAAAAAACATTTTAACATTTCGTTTTTTAATTTCATTCCTGAATAAGTTGATTTTTTCAAAACTTATTATGCCTAACATATTATACATATATGTATATAAATATGGTATCATGCTATCAGCGGAAGCCTCAAAGCTCAAACACATCAAAAGAACGAAAAAAAATAAATATGCCCCTCAGTCTTTAATGAATTTGTAACATGTATATTTTTATATTCAATTTTATTAGTTATACCTTAGATATTTTGAAGTGTAAATGATATATGGTGTAACCTTCGTAAAATATTATATTCAACAGAATTGTTTATAGTCCTTTGGTACAATGTTACAATAACGAAATCGTGTTACATTAATACAACTTGTAGATTACATTATTAGGTAGTAATAATAAGATTGATGACAAAAACTTTGAATAGATTTCCCGTTGACATGTTGCTATTATTACACACAAAAATGCAACACTTATTATTTTACTGATTTTTTAAAGAGTCAACTTGAATTATTAACCTTTTCGCCGAGCAGAAGTATTTTATCTGGAGGAAGAAAGATATCAATCCGAGGAACAAATATTGGTTTTATGGGAAGTCGCTACAACGTTTTATTTTGTAATGACATCAAATGTATACAGTGCAGGTGATTTGAAATATCTATCAATATCTTTGCTTTCTAATCATCTTTTCAATACTTTTTATTTTTATTTTGCCTAATTCTAAATTAAAATATCATTTAACGTAGAAATGATGAATAATAGTAAATTTTCTTTTTAGCATTTTATCACGAATGCTTTTAAATTTGCAGCGGAACTGTTCAATCTAAATTCCAAGTGAATAGATCTAATACTCTGAAATTTACACATTCTATATAAAAAGTAAAACAACAAAAATACCAAACTCCAAGGAACATTCAAGTCGGAAAGTTCCTTATCAAATGGCAAAATAAAAAGATCAAACACATCAAACGAATGGAAAACAATTGTCATATTCCTGACTTGGTACATTTAACAGGTAGAGTGTATACGTATTAACTTAAAATAGTCATTATTTTACAACACGGCATATAAAGATTGTACCAATATATTTTTTTCTTTTCCTTACAAAGTAATATAGTTAGGATAAAATGGTATAACTATTTATTAAAGTACTAAAATTGATACCGTTGTATTTCATGCTATTACTGCTACCAACAGATTGGCAGACTTTTTAACAACGGAAAAAGAACATTTATAGTCCTAACAAAACAGTTTTCGTTTCATGTCAAAAAAACAGAAAATCACACAAATCATCGTCTCGTCTTCAATAACAGTTCAGTGGATTTGAAGAATGATAGCAAGTTAGCCAAATAAGATACGCAATGAAAAAGCATTGAAAAAGAAATACAATTTAGTATCTATATTTATATATGATAAATAACACGAATACATGTAAGGGAACAATGGATCTTGGAGAATATAGAAGTATAATATTTTCTTAAAATCTTTATCACTATGACTTTTTTTTTATTGGTGCTCACAATAAAAAGCTAAATGGCAAAATCAAATTGAAATTGATGAGTTCTGAAACCCAAATATTCAGAAACGTTCTACCTAATACAGTTTATGCTATAAATGCCTATAGGTGTTTCGAATATTATTGCAACATTTTCTAAACAGTAAATTTATGTTTGATGAGTTAATCTATAGAAGATGAACGTATCAATGGTAGTTCTTGTCTACAAAAGTGGATTCTTCTGGGTTGGGGATATACGAAGGGACGAAACGACATCCGCAGTGGCATCGGCACAGTGTATGTTAATAAACTCATGAAAGATATCAGGCTTGCAATTAATCACGCAGACCCTCGTGTCGTCATCAATAAAAATTCCAGGGAATTGGAAGAATAATAGCAATTAGGAAGACCAAATAAAATACGAAATGAAAAAGCGTTGAAAAGCAAACATTTTGAAAACATTTGCCTAATACGGTTTAGCTAATTAAAATATTGAAATGGGTTAATAGCGCGTGGAATATAAAGTTATTTAAATAATCAAGTTGAGTTTTAATAAACTCTATTTCAAAATACCCTATTTTTGCACCCTGTTTTTTTCTCGCAAAAACATCGTGTTTTATCGAATAATTAGCAATTTTATAACGAAAAAAAACGTGTATGCAAGTGAAAGCAAGTACGTGAATCTTTATTTGCGAAAATATGGTGAATTTCGGCTTTCGTCAAATTGTCATATGTGTACTTCCTTGGCGTTACCAATGTGCTGCCGAAATAAAACATCTTAAAATTTCAATTTTGTATCTAGATTTCTTCAAATTGAAGGAGACCATACTTTGACATGCAATATGGATGGATCAGATAGTGTCATTACTTTAACATATTTGAGTGTTACTATTGATGGAAATACACATCTTACCCTCAACAAAGAGTTCATGATTGTTGCCGATCCATTAGTTGCCCCTCTGTCTGTAGACAGTTCTTCTGTATTTCGAAGGTAATTTTAAACAGCAGTTTTCGAGTTATGAATAATAAATAAATCTTTTCTAGTAGAAATAATGTACTCAAAATTTTATAAAGTCAAACGTTTGGTTCGAAGTATAAATGTTGAATCGTGATGCAAATCAAATGTCATATCCCGGCATTTACAGTGTTGTTCCTATCTTACCTTATGGTGTAGGTTTTCCTTGTTCGAAAAGCTCATGCAATGACTTACATTTGTATATCTACATCTTTGTCTCGTTTTTAGCAGATATGTTTACATTTGCTACCGTTTATCATTTCCTTATTTTCATAAAATTACCCTTTAATAAAGCTTAATGAAAGGTTACTTGGTATTTCACTACAAATTGTATTAAATCAAATGCAACAGAAGTGAAGCGATGATCTATTATCACAAATAAATTACGAAGATTCAAATCAAGAAAAAAAAAGTACATGATGATCTTGAGACCACAAAGATATGCATGAGACACAAACACATCATATCGGTCAACCGATTCGTGTGAGCGTGAAATTTATGAATTGTTCTAAGCTTTATACAACAGAAATTCTGTAATAATACCGTGGAAAACAAAGAAAGAAATTGCAATTGAATAAATTTGAAAACCACCATGCACTTGTTTCTGGTAACATGAATATTTGAACTAGAAGAAGACAGTCGGTATTGAAATTTGTACTGATTGCGTCCTTATTGACCGCATTGTTTGTATACAAATATGAAGCAGAATTCGTCCAGTATCTTCTCAGAAACAAAAAAAAGCAGTATCTTGCACAGTTACTTATATTCAAATTACTATTTGTCAGCAATAAAATACCGTCTAACTAACCATTATGCATTTCTCAATTAATAAGTGACACTTGTGCATGTTAACATTATACGGACTTTATGAACAGGAATGTGCACAAAAACTGCTCCAACAACATGAACAAAGTGATGAGAAAGAAAGATTTCCGTTTTTCTTTCTCATCACTTTGTTCATGTTGTTGGAGCAGTTTTTGTGCACATTCCTGTTCATAAAGTCCGTATAATGTTAACATGCACAAGTGTCACTTATTAATTGAGAAATGCATAATGGTTAGTTAGACGGTATGTTATTGCTGACAAATAGTAATTTAAATATAAGTAACTTTGAACATGCACAAGTGTCACTTAATAATTGAGAGATGCATAATGGTTAGTTAGACGGTATGTTATTGCTGACAAATAGTAATTTAAATATAAGTAACTTTGAACATGCACAAGTGTCACTTAATAATTGAGAGATGCATAATGATTAGTTAGACGGTATGTTATTGCTGACAAATAGTAATTTGAATATAAGTAACTGTGCAAGATACTGTTTTATTTTCGTTTCTGAGAAGATACTGGATGAATTCTGCTTCATATTTGTATACAAACAATGCGGTCAATAGGGGCGCAATCAGTACAAATTTCAATATCGACTGTCTTCTTCTAGTTCAAATATTCATGTTACCAGAAACAAGCGCATGGTGGTTTTCAAATTTATTCAATTGCAATTTCTTTCTTTGTTTTCCACGGTATTATTACAGAATTTCTGTTGTATAAAGCTTAGAATTTCACAGGAGTTTTCAAGTTTCCTTTATGATGAGATTGAAAATAACTTTGGTACTGTATAATATTAAACGTTACTAATAGGTACATTGTTTACTAATATTTGAAAATATAATTTGTTTTCAGTGGAGGACAAAAACTAACTGTAACAGGAACTGGCTTTTTGAACGTAGGGGTTGTTATGGTAGACACTCCAGTAAGAATGATACAAGTAATACATGTTTATTTATGAAAACAACCAGTTAAAGGTGTTCTGTTCATTTAATAATTTTAAGTTATGGGTGATCGAAGGAAAAATAAATCTTTAACAGTAGTATCATGGTATTAAAGTAAACGACTGTATATTTTATGAGCAAATAGACCATTTGTCAGTAGTGGATTCACCTCAATTAACTTCATTATCCTCGACCAAATTTTGTAAACACTTGTTTTCATCCGTATAAGGAAATGAGGTATTTCATCTCTCTCCTTGGAAATGGTAACTGAGAAAAAGTTAAAAATACCACAATGTTCCAAAAGGAAGCTGGATAAGGCAAACAGGAGTTTACATCTGTTCAATTTTATAAATTGATTAAGAAGACAAATCAAGGTAACAAACAATAATTGAGGGAAAGGAAACCGCATGAACTCCAAAGAGAGTGCAACTAGATGCTTCGAAATGGTAAGCGTCTCGTACAATGCAAGCTCTATCTGCATGCGTAATCAACGCTCAATTAAAGCGTCACCGTCGGGATTGACGCATATTCGGAAATATGACACAATCTGTAAAATTACAGATTAGACTATTATTTTGTTATCTAACAATCAATGAATGCGAAAACATGTCGCTGTTTAGATGAGACATAGACTTACTGAGCCGGTCAACCAATTTATAATGGTGACCGTAAAACGTATGTTATGTCGATTTCATTCGTTATTCCCCACACACCTCTCCATGGTTAAAGAGTTTACGTCCTTCAAATGTCTTTTCCAACATTTTACATCTTTCAAACATCTTTTTAGACAGTGTACACATCCTTGGCTTACAATGTTTAAATTTCAGCTTTCCTATTGAAGGTTCATGCAGACAAGTCATTCGGACGCTAATCATTTACAAAGTGATATTTTTCTTAAACCAGCTAGCACAATCAATGTATTAATTTTTATTCAACGGTTTTTGATATATCAGCATTATTGAAAAAAAATCGTTATAAAACCCCTTTGCCGCTTTTTATTAAATTTCAGTTCCATTAACTTATATGAATTTTTATATACCAGGTGAAAAACATCTCGGGTGAGGAAGGGGCCTCGGTGGCCGAGTGGTCTAAGTAGATACTACTGTAATCACTAGCCAGTCAACACTGAGGTTGTGAGTTCGAACCCCGCTCGTGCGAGTGCACTCGACTCCAATCTTAATTGACTAGGATTGTCAGTTTTCCTATCGAAGGTCGGTGGTTTTCTCCGGGCACTCCGGCTTCCTCCACCAATTAAAACTGGCCGCCACGAAATAGCTCAAAAGCGGTGCTTAAAAGTGGCGTTACAACACTAAAAATCAATCAAATCAATCTCGGGTGAGGAATATTAATGATTCAACAAACTATAAACAAAGCACAAATGTAATGTGAAAATCTAATGAACTGACTCTACCAGAAATATGGGTCGTTCGCACGTAATTAGTATTATATGTGTTGATTACTACAACTAGGTCTGTCCTGCTGCAAGTTGAAAATCATTCCCATGAATGCTTTCGTCAATTTGTTTGAGTCCAATTTCTGTTATAACCACTCACCTAAGTAGTGATAGTTCTACAACTAAAGTTCAAACTGTTTCACTTTTTTATCTTTTATTAATTCATACTAAATTCAGTCCGAAGATCGTAAATATTTCTAAATTTTGATAAAATTTGCGAAAACAACTGTTATCCATGTTTTTACCATAAAAAGGCATTGCATATACATTGTACATGTACCAGCCTTATATTTGTTTGCCCAAAATACATGATTCCTAAGTAATATTCAGTGGTAAGAATTAATGTCAACCATGACAAATACAGAAAGTAATGCCAGACTGACGAAGGTAGACAGTTGGGGTCCGTGTAACATTAAAACTGTCAGTAGTGGACTGATGTAAATGAGACATTTTAACAATAAAACTAAAGATTATGGCTAGCAAGAAATTCATAAAATGATCATATATTAAATTGTTTTCATTAAATTGCTCGATTAGCTTTTTGGTTAAAAATACACAACGGTTCGATCAAGTATTAATACCTGTGTAGTATTGCTTCTAAATTTGATTACGTCATCATTCAAATTTTTTTTTAAGAATTATTGTGTACAAACTGATGTAATTTGAAGCCATACAGGCCAAGTTATCGTAAAAACGTGCAACAAGATAAATTTCTTGTTACAGTTTTAATTTGTACTTAATCAAACATATGCCAATGTAAACTGGCACTAAATACATCAAGCGTAAAGCCGGTGCTCCCTTATAATGTTTTGTCTTACAGTTTATACATTAAAGCCCGTAAAATTCGATTCGAATCATGTTAACTTATTGATCCTTTGAATAAACTTATTCTTACAGATTATCAATTTTACATATTGCTAAACAGTTATGATAACTTATGATCCTAAATTTACATCCTGTCGAAACTCAAAATTGTGCATTGCACAAGAATATGTACACTTACCTGTAAGACGTGTCTGCTTGATATTTTAGTTTTCGAAAACACGATTTAGTTATTAGTTGTAGTTGACTTTGAACTGACTTTCAATAATTGCGAGTATCGTTAGGGCAGTACTTTTTGTCTTATGTCATTTTTTGGATTTCGCCAATTTGATTATTCAAGCCTTTTCAAACAGGTTTTTGACACTTTGTTCTTATGTTGTGCTGATACACCACTATCCATGGTTATAGGATGGTTAAACGCTAGCAAAAATGTTTAACCCCGCTGTTTGTTATGTTAAATAATCAGATTACCGCAATTTTTCTAAAATCGATTAAGATGGTACAAAGCGAAGTTACAAACAAAAACTGAAGGAATTGCGTGAAATCTAAAAGAAGCTAGACCATGTTTGTCGACAGGTATAATGTAAAAGCGTCTACTGCTATCCATGCATTAGGCGTCATGCCAATCCATGTGGCTGTCCACATTCAGGAGGCTGTAATTGAGTAGTGCTTGAATATAAGCATAAGGAGATGTGGTATGATTGCCAATGATACAACTATCCAATAGAAATCAATTATAGTACACGTAAGCAATGACAATGAGAATATCCCACACCGTACAGTCGGCTATAAAAGGCCAAGACATGAAACATGTGAAATAATTCAATCGAGAACATTCACGGCCTAATTTCTAACAAAACAAATAAACAAATATGACAGACATGAACCAACGACAATCGCTAAACTACATGCTCCTGACTTGGGACAGGTTTATATTTAATTAAAGAAATAAATAAGAACAACATCACATGTCTGTCGCCACAAACCAAGCCTCCTACAAACTCCGGTGATTTAATATTCATTGTGGTAAGCGTGATTTTCATGTTTGGTTTACTATTTGATATTTAGTGTTGGAATTCTTGTACATAGTAAATTTATTCTAAGAAAGGTTGTTTATTTATCTGATCTTGTTTTTAGACAATTTTGCGCATAGATATAGATTGTTTCTATTATGCTGTAATCCATTATAGTCTAGTATAATCATGATTTTTTTTTAGGATGCTGTTCCATGTACAATAATATCTGATAGCATTGTAGTATGTAAATCTCCACCGTATGTGAAATCAGATTTCGAAAGAAGGAAAAGAGCAGCTGTACAAAACATTTATGTTCATTTTGATAGTTATAGAGTATCCTTGGGAGTATTTTATGTGGATGATCCTCTGTTGGAGAAACTATCAAAAGTTTTTGTATATCTCAGTAATGCAATCTTAGAAATCAAGGTAAAATTATTCATGTTATTGTTGTCGATATTTGATTTTGAAAAGTGCATCTATTCGATAGCATATTATGTATGTAAAGCTAAAACTGCTGCACATCCAAAAAAATCAAAACAATTTTATATATATTAAGTAAATACCAAAAGAACGTGATTAAAGAGGATATATTAGATCAAGGTTTTTGCCCACTCTTGGTTATAAAACTGATAGTTTGACATTAGTTTATTATATCAACTTCATCAAAACTGATTTGAACAATTGGTACGTATTGTGTTTTAAATTATTGATTTGTTGTGCCAGTTTTTAATGGTCAATACGATAGGGCACGAAACAGTGTTTCCTGTTACATTTACATGAAGTACAATTATATTAGTATTACCCAAAAACTAGGAAAAGTGTCCTTTAACCACATTTTTAAATATTTCAAACTTTAAAACAAAATGAGTCAAATGAATTATGTGCATTTGTACCTTTATAATTAATTGATGCGTCTTAATTTCAGGGTCGTGGATTATTAGAAGGTGCTAGACCTGATGATTATTTCATACGCGTAGGTTTGGATGGTTTATGTCTAATTACAGATATAAACAATGACAACATCACATGTCTACCACCCAAAACAAAACCGCGTACAAATACCGGAGATTTAGTGTTTATTGTGGTAAGGATAATTTTCGTTTTGGTTTACTAATTAATATTTTTGTATTGTACTACATCTGTACATGGTTCATTAATTCTTAAAAATTGGGCTTTGAACTAGCTACCACAAAGTGTGGGGACTTTTTGTTCAGTTTTTTTTTTTTTTTTTTTTTCTTTTTGGCTATTTGTTAGTTGTGACTTTGGGTTTGTTTTGATAACTTGATTCTATCCATGTCCAGCAGATTTTTGTAATTAATGTGTTGCTTAAGCATAAATCGGGCTACTTGTCTTCTCTTTTAAAGGATTCACACCACGGTAGTTAGCACCACTTTGCTCACATGAAATATATGTAGTACAGTGACTTTAATATTTATTGTTACAAAATTTTGAAAAATCTGAAATCAGATGGATTTTCTACCCGCGATGAATAGCTGTCCTTAAGACGCATTTAACTTATCTACTGATTTGACCTTCCAGTTATTTTGATTTGAACGCCACTGATAACTCTTTTGTAAGCGAAACGCTCGTCTGGCGTGTTAATGATAAACCTGATATCTTTCATTGGTATCACACTTCTCCATTTCTTGAGTTGTAAGGCAAATTATGTGTTGCACGTCCACACTGTCAGTAATGTTTTGAAGCACTGTTAAGCTTCAGCAAAGCTACAGTAGCATTAAATAATAAATTCTGCAAAACATTGTTGAGAATCATGTTCTTAATTGCGATTATAAGTTTGCATATGGTAGTACAAAATATGATTTAAGACAATTGAAACAATATGTTTCAATAACCCATTGATTAAATTCAATTGTATTACCATTGAAACATGTGTAAGCAAATGAATAATTTTAATTGGTTGACACAATACGAATGTTATCAAATAAGGAGTTGTATGCTTTTCAATGTTACAATTATCCCACAGTTTCAAAATGACACTGATTCAGGCAACCATGTTACCACATGGCCTTCAACAATATACAAAATCTTTACCTCATTGTCAGCTTTTAACTGTCCAATCATGACGAAATATGAACCAATTCAAACGAAAAAAAAGACATGCGTTTTGACAACACAATAAGCAAAAACCAAATGACTGAAAGCTGGTTCAGACAATGTCAGAGCCTTTCAACTAATTAATATATATTTCCTATGAGACTAAAGTATCAATCAGTGCACGTTCAACGGCTGTAGTTTAAAGACGTCATAAACAGTCTAGGAAAGCATGATTATGGTCAAAGTGAAATTATAAGTAAATAATATCAGTAGGAAACATGTACATGTATAAGACCATAAGTTTTCATCAGTTATGTTTCAATTTATCAAAACAAAAATCATATTAGTACCTTTCAAAACAATATTCAAAGATATCACTAGTGCTAGTTTGGTATCCTTTAAAAAAAAGTTTATTCAAAAGCTCAATGTGTTTACTTGAGGTTTAGCAGGCAAGAAAAGGTGTATATTACGACAATTTGACTAATCTATTAACATACTGAACATGATAAAGGTATGTGCTATTTCAGGAACAGAACGCTAGGCAGCTAAACACTAACTCATGGATACTCCTTACCAGTTAACACTGTAGTTGCAAACATACAATAGATGTTGAAAATGATGAGTGCAATTGTTCTTTGTATTAAATATCCGTATTTTAAACTGTTCACTATATTTTATTTGTATTTCTATATTCTATGAGAAGCAGAGTAACCCTCTATGGAGAAACTTTTTTCTATTTCAATGTGTTCTATACATTAAAAATCGTTGTATTAATTGATTAATTGTTGAAGTTTTAAACACTAATTTCAGAATACATGGCTTTATTGGGTCCTTTGATAGTAACCACTGGCATGACTTAAATACGAAAATATATCATGATACCTTTTCTAGTGAGATCTACTACTTGATATGAAGCAAATCATTTAATAACTTTGTTTTCAAACATTTAATCTTTTTATATAAAGGTTGTCGTTGGGAACATTAATGAACATGTTGGATATTTGCGGTATGAATCTTCTACCAGTGAAAATAATAATATAGTTCTTTATGGAGTAGCTGGAGGTGTAATTATAGTAGTTTTGGTTATCATATCAGTTGTCGTTCTTATGATGCGGCGTTCAATGAAAAGGAAAATAGACAAGACAAAGACTGAAATGAAAGAAATGAAGGAAGAAATTAGCAAGATTATCGTCAAAGAGGATGGTATGTTTGTATTCGTTGTTTTACAACCACGTGTTATCCGATGGAGAATATCTGTCATAAAGTTGTTACATTTTAGGCATGTATAATAAAAATTAAAATTTGATGTGGCGGCATATCATTAACATTATCATCCTTTACGACAGACAAAATAGCTGATGTGAAAGATACACCATCTACTTGCCACTATATATCATGTACTGGGTTACAACTCTAGATAAAGCCGATGAGAAAAGGCATTCCATCGACCACCGAAAGCTATATGTTTATGTAGCTTAGGTGGTCGAGTGGTCTAGGGCGCTTAGCCCGGTGCATGCGGTGTTTCCACGATCTGACAGAAGCAAGGGTTCGAATCCCGTGGAGGGAAGAACGAAAATTTGCTAACGCAAATTTAAAGATCTAACATTGTTGGGCTTAACTTGAGACGAATTATATATATAAGTTAAATACGAAAAATATATGCTAACATCTCTATTGTGGTGCATTTTATATATTAAGAGAGATAACACTCTTGTATATGATAAAAAGTAAAATCACAAAAATACTGAACTCCGAGGAAAATTCAATCGGAAAGTCCCTAATCACATGGCAAAATCAAATGACAAAAAACATCAAACGAATGGACAACAACTGTCATATTCCTGACTTGGTACAGGCATTTTCAAATGTAGAAAATGGTAGATTGAACCTGGTTTTATAGCGCTAAACCTCTCACTTGTACGACAGTCTTATCAAATTCCGTTATATTTACAACGATGCGTGAACAAAACAGACATTATAAATAAAATAGTCAAAATATGGGTACAGCAGTCATCACTGTGTTACAATATCAAAACAAACAATTATTTACAAAAAAGAACAAAAGCATCTATCAAATTAAAAACCACATTCATTGCTTCGCGTGTCTGACGTCAGAAAATGTAAACGTCACATAAGAAGAAATTTTGTCATTCAATGTTTATTCAAAACAATTTTATAATTTCACATGTGGAATGTTGGTATACAGGGTTAAAAAATCAAAAGTTATGTTAGAATTAATTTCAAAAATAGACCGGGATTTAAAATTGTCCAGAAGTTCTTTAGAATTTTTAAGAATCTACATATGGTTAATACCACTACAGGAGTAAAATAAATTTGTCGTTTGTCGTTCAAAGTATTTTCAAATTTATAATAGAACAATAACATAATGACATATAATACAACAATAACATAATGACGGGATCTTTTAAAGTACAGAGTCACGTTATAAGAACCACAGAAACACAAAAAGTCGCATATACAAAACACACCAGCAAAAATGAAAGATAATACAAACACATTGACGGGATGTATATATTCCTGAACAGAAACTGCTTTCCTTAAAGCGAGTCGTCTTAACCCTTGCCTTATAAATAGCATATAAGGCTTTTATGCATTTTAAAAGAGATATTGGTTGTCTTTAAAAGCAGTAATAAAGATAAAAATAAGGAGATGTGGTATGATTGCCAATGCGACAATTATCCACCAAAGTTCAAATGAAGGGTATGTAAGCAGTTATAGGCAACAGTACGGCCTTCAACAATGAGAAAAACCCATACTGTATGATCGGTTATAAAAGGCCCCGACATGAAAAATATGAAACAATTCAATTGAGAAAAACTAACGGCCTAATTGATAACAAAACAATTCACGAAAAACAAATATGACAGACATGAACCAACGACAACCACAGAACTACATGCTCCTGACTTAGGACAGGCACATAAAGAATGTGGCGGGGTTAAACATGTTTGTGAGCGCTCAACCCTCCCCTAACCTCGAAGTGTTGTAACAGTACAACATAAGAACAAACTATAAAAATCAGTGAAAAAGGCTTAACTCATCAGATGGATACAAATAGAAATACATCTAACAAAAACACAGAGTGGACGTAGATGGGTACCTATACATCCCCACAACAAAATAGACACTAAGTACATATCTTAGAGTACTCGCATTTACTGACAGCTAGTTCAAAGCCAATAACAACTAATAAAAAAAGTCATGTATCTAAGACTAAACATGCTAAAATATCAATCAGTACACATCCAACATCTACTGGATTTAGTGTAAAGACGTCATTAACAGTCAGTCCGAGAAAAACAGGACATTGTGCAATGCCAAGCTATAGCTATAGGTATCGAAAGGTTGTTGTACCGTGAAAGTACATATGTGTTATATTTAGAATGGTTCATGTCATCACACCTCCAGTATGTATATCAAGCATTTTTACCTTTCTCATTAGAGAAAAAGGCTTTATATGAGTTGCAGCAAAAAAAATTTGCAATCAGATTTATCAAACGACCATTTAATTAGATAGGGAAACGTTTGTTTGATAAGATTGTGTGGAATTTTGTTTAAAGAGTGGAAAAGTCAAAACTGTCAACCGAATCAAAAGGACTATCAAAAGCACGTAATTTATCTAAAACATCAAAAGGATTTTTTACAATCCAAAAAATGGTAAATTCCACTGTTTTCATATGTTTTATTACAAAATTAACGATTAGTTATTTGATAGTAGTTAAGGAACTCGTGAAAAGCACTGAAAGATTATTAGTAGGACACTTACTTAAGGCCGAGATAAAACGATATTTTACGGGGTTTTTGTGTAGTTTAGGTATTCAATACCAAGTAGGGACCTTCAAATGTTCAGAAGAGCCTTAAGCTGAGCTGTGGTAGTGACATGATTATTTACTATGTGACTCTCTGTGGAGCGTACGGCCTTGGGTGTAGTTGAATGTATAATTTCATTCTTAAGGACTTCCGTGTAGTATTTACGTCATACCACCACCACATTGTTGGCTGCATTACGAACACAAAACGCTTTGATAGTACTTGAATTTTGTTTTTAATCCTGGAAATGGGCGTATTACTTACTCTTTTAATTCTTAATTATTTTCAAAAATGAGATATGCGAATATCAACAATATTCAGACATTTATTTAAATAGGCATCGAGTGACTTTTTGTCAGATTTCTTCCGTTTACACAATTTTATACAATAGGATAAGAGCATCTTTAATAACTTGACGACACTCTTCTCAATTTTTTTTTTTGAACGGTGGACGATATTTTAGTCCTTTTTTAGAAAGTTTATAACCTCTCGGTTCATTCAAATAGTAGGGTCATTTTTGCACACATAAATTGTTGGGCTTATTTTGCATTGAGTTGTTGAGCTGCAAAGCAATGATAGGTCAGCAAGAAGATGTCTTATTTCATATATTAGAAGAAATATTGGTGAAAAGTATCAAACGTTTGCATTGTGAAGTAAAAACATTTTATCAGTGGTATGAGCAAGAAAGCTACATTTTGTCCACGCATCGTTGTCAATATAATGGAATTTGATGCGACTGTCGTACAAGTGAGAGATTTAGCGCTATAAAACCAGGTTCAATCTACCATATTCTACATAAGAAAATGCCTGTACCAAGTCAGGAATATGACAGTTGTTGTCCATTCGTTTGATGTGTTTGTGCTTTTGATTTTGCCATTTGATTAGGGACTTTCCGTTTTGAATTTGTTTTTCAGTATTTTTGTGATTTAACTTTTTTCAACCTTTATGATCGTTTTATCTAAGGTTTCATGACAAACTCTTTATTCAAACCTCGGCAAAACAACAACCTAGATTTATATTTTAAATTATGGAATGTATCTCCTTCATGCATAGCTCTAAGTCCTTGTCAGAGTTTTGCGTTACTTAAGGGTCCTTTCTCATTTTATCAGCTCTTCATCGTGTGTACTAGGTTTTGGACTTAATATTTTTGCACTGAAGAGACGTTAGTTTAAACAATTCGCATCTGATGCAATAATATTTGTACCATTATCGTTATTCATTTATTTTGTAAGCTAGAGATTATTTTGGTTTCTGTTTTCAGTACCATAAATAATATGCGGCCATTTTTGCTGGTGTTACAAATTTAAATGACTTAAAAATATTTTCTTCAGTGTTTTGTTTTTATGGGTTTTGTTTTTAGTTTTTTTTTTATCCTTTATTTTGGATAATAAATACCTGGAACTGTCTTTCACTTCGTACTAACAATACATATTCAAATGATTTGACTGTGATCGGTCATTATGTAACTTTGTTATGTTGCTAGATTGCTAGATCTAGATTGATTACTTGCATACAACATAAAATACTTTTCTGTCTGCAATTTACTTTTTTGTCTATTGTAGGATTGTCTGCAGGAATAGCGAACTCAAGGTATAGACGTGTTTAAGAAATAATTTGTTCATGTCATACTCTATGCTAGGTTTAACATGGGTAGGCATTATATTTGTGATTTTTTTATATTGAGCGTAATTGTGTTGTAAAATGTCGACAATGGTGTATAATGCCTACCATTGTTACATTGAGCATAGAGCATTGCATGAAAGAATTAATTCTATCATAATAGGAAACTTCATACATTTTGTACTCCGAAACCGATCTATGAGACACATTGATTTCGTATATTTTCATTCACACTGTTTCTTGGTAAATGTATTCTACAATCGCATTCCTCGTCGCACTATTCTAATATATACGTGAAAGTACAAACATATCATTCAAATAAATTTCAGACTTTTAATTATTTCGCAATACATGAAATTATCAGAAGTGGTAGTTACATGTACCGTGACAAAAGACAAATATGTCCGTAAGAGTTATGAAAAAAGAAAATGATCAGCTAGGACTACATTCTAGGTGAAAACATTTTGTTTTCCAGTTGAACAATTATGAACAACATGTATCCAAAGACTATTAAACAACAGGATAATTTTTACAATTACTTTCAACGTCAAGCATGTATATATACTTTCCAGTATCTAACTGTTTTTGGAATGTTATTGTTAATGTTTTTTTCTGGTTTCATTTTCAAAAAAATAGTCTGTCTATAAATAAAGCTCATTTGAAGATAGAATAAGATTTTGATATACATTTGTAATCTATAATATTGTATTTATCTAACATTATCTTACAAATCGTTCCATTTGTTCATTCCAGGATGGAATTTGTTGAGCCTTACGACGAAGTTTATGATGAAATAAATGCAGAGGAAGAATCAAATAGCAACTCAAATAGAAACACATATTTAGATGTTACTTCTGGATATGAAGATCTCGGACAAGTGTCAGCAACGAACCCGTATAATCAGCTACATCAAGCGAATACTGAAGACCTTAATCAAGAAGTGGCGAATACTGATAACCTTACAAGTACACAACTATCTTCTAATGACTTTGCACAATTCGAGAATTACATGGAACCGGTTGATACAACAAATTAAAGCAACAACTCAAATATTGTGTCCGTTAACTGCAAATAATATGAAATCTAACGGATTGAGATAAACTTTCAACAGATGATGAACCTAAACACAATTACTTGAATATATCCATATCAAATATGAAATGTATTTGTTTTTATCAAGATTTTTTTTTCTATCTATGTGCCTAATTATCCCCAAAACTAGATTTAAATCAAACACTACTGAACATCAAAACATTCAAAACTTTCATTTTGCAATTTTTAATTCAGAATTAGATATGCTAAATTCACTCATCAAGCATGATTTCCTCTCGCGTAGATATTTCTTACTGTCAGATGAAAGCACATTCCCGGATTTCATTGAAATGTTTTATGACCAACGCTTATACACCTTAATGAAACAAAAAAATGTACAGGGAGGTGTAAAGCTCTAAAAAGATCCAACAGAGATAGCGCAGATACCATGTCAAACTCAATCTATTTTTGAATTGCATTGAATACAGTTATAAATGTTACAGAAACTGATTTTTCTTTTTAAAGACAACCTTTTTAGAAACAAGTACTGCTACATATGCTTGGACATCAATTCATTTTAATCTTGATCAGAGGTATTCTGGTACACATAATAAAAAGATGATTATAGACAAATCTGCACGGTAATGCGTGTCTCTCTGACCAACCATCGTCAATGTATTTATATTATGCTCTACATGTATTTATTATGTTATAATTTAATTTTGGATGTAACACGTCTTCTGATTAGCTGAAAGTGTTTTGTCTATCATAAAAACATAATTTTATCATGTGACCGTAACGTCACCAACGTTTTTTCTGTCTTCAAAATGTACTACTTTAAAATCGAATTTAGAATTAAATTATAAGGAATTACTGTATTATTTTTTCTGTCTATTCGAAATTACCTAAAAAATGTTATTTCTTCATAGACAGAAAAAATATTACAGTCATTCCTTAATTATTTTAAATACACATGATTTGTATTGTCTTCTTTCAAATAGTCTAAATTTTACTTTCGTCTTCTGAAATATGTTTGTTTTAATTGTCTTTAATAGTTTTCACAATTTTAAAACCTGAAAACCATAATAGAAAATTTATGAAAAGTGTATCCTGCACATCACACTGACGCGCATATAAATATATATTAACTAGATTCAATTGTAGAAATCATTAATGCATACATGTAGGTTACCGTTGGTTTTTTTTAATATTTCTCCTTTAAATGCCTTTATATTTAAAGGTTTCTCGTGTGGTTTGCACTTTTTTAACGGGTCAAAGTTCAATAAAAACGAAACATTTACTGCTTTCCTCTGCTTTCGCTTTTGTGGTGTCTCAAAAACAAAAATATAACTCTATTCTCGACAATAATATTTAAATATGTAAACACTCGTTATACTCACTAAATTTTCACAAGAGGAGAAATATCATACCACAATCGCTGCAGTGATTGTGTGTTTGTATCTGTATGTTGGATACATGAATATTTGTTTTTCATGAAATGTTGTTATCTTAAAAAAAGATATTTCATACATGAACTAATATGTTTTCTTATCCATTTGTTTATCTTTTCTATATATTCAAATACAACAAATGGTGCATATATAGAAAAAACTAACATGTGTTCTTTAAATCATTTTTTTAACACTTGAATATTCTTTAAATCATTTTATAAACTGACTATATTATATGGTCATGGAAACACGTATTTTCTAAACTGTCTTCTACAGCAATATGGTGCGCCGAATAACCTGGAAGTAACTGGAAATTTTAAATTGTTGAATTGTTTTTAATTATATGATACAGACTGCTTCATGTTTAATAAGTTTCATTAACTAATATCTTGTCCTTGTGAGGGAGGAAAACCATGCGAAGTTACCCTACCTCTTTTCATAATGTACATATATTTGCTCGGTGCATCAAATAAACTTTATTACATGTGAATTCAATGGTGAAATAGCGTATAGAAATATGGTAATCTCTGAAATGATCCAATCCTTGGTGAAATCTTCTAGAGGCTAGCCTGCATGCCGCGCTGGATGAACAATATTAATACTTATCTGCGGTGAAAATGGGGCATTAAATCCGATGCCTCGTGTAAGAAGAGTGTCACACTTTCTGCAATTGATTGTTTGAGACATCCCGTCTTTGGAGTGTTCTGAGAATACCTGGTGCAAAATATTGGCCATAGCAAACATATCTTTATTTTTGCTAGTGGCGCTCAAATGTCTTGACCTTCAATCCGATCATTCCTTATCAGCCGTCAAATATGAATTGACATTTTTATTCATCTGAACTAATACCTTGAAGGTTGAAATCAGTCATATGAGCGACATATTATTATACATGATCTAGAGGCAAATAATAAGTATATTTTTTAGGATTTCATATTGGTTCTGGTATAATTCATCAACCGAAACTCTCATATCGTACCGAAGACATTTGATTAAGCAAGGACTGGCGCTGATATTGAAAACACCGTGGTATGATATACTATTCATATGATTAGTAAAAATTGATAGTAGAAAAGTGAATATGATAATCCATTTAATTATTTATTTTTATTTGTTTGTTTCTTGTTTGCTTCTTCTTCGAATTTGACAAAACTCCTATGATTCGCAACCAAATAATTCCGCTGACCATGTTTGTTCTTCTCTGATATTTATCAGAGACGTATTGTTTCTACACGATGTCACAAGTCTGTATTTTATTTCTACTTTGTTTGTATGCTGTTAATGACAGTTTTATTCATTATTGTATAACACAAATACATTTCATTCAAAAAGTCGTCACAAGATGGCATGCAAAAATAAATCATATTGCGCTGATGGAAAAAATCTTCACATTAGTGAAGTCTTCGGTGAAAAAAAATATGTTGCAACAGTTTGGCGAGCTTTACTATACAATAAAAGGGTTGTGTAATGATTTTTTGTGAATATCATCGCTCGTAGAATATTTTTTGTTTATACCGTGACAGCAATGCGACAGCAAGGTTATCAAAAGAAAAAAAGTGTTAATTTTTTGTTATATCAAGGAAAAAGAAAGCAATACTGGTTTGTATTTAAAATAAATTGCGATTGTTCCTTGAAAAATATACAAAATAATAAAGTGATTCATAAGGACGGAAATGTTACGAATTCGATTATGTATGTGTTGAAGTGTCGTGAGAATATTTGTCATTCAGGTCGAAAGATAACCATGAAATCAGATATTTATATATTCGCTTGGATGCTTATATCGCATACATTCTCTCTAAACTTATATGATATACATAAAGTTGGTCATCGTCCCGTCCTGTTGATAGAGGGAGATTATGTGTATGTAGGTGGAGAGTTAGGTCTTGTTAAACTAAACAAAACATCTTTTAACGAACTTAAATTCATTTCGGTACAAAATGTATGGGCAGTTCTTGTTGATGATGACGCAGATTTGCTGATTGTATGTTCCTCTCTCGGAGACGGAGAAAGTCACTGTCATAAATTAACCCGGAATTTTAAAGAAAAAGACATAATGACTGAGCGATTTATGATCGATCTTAACACACCTCCGTTATACTAAAAATGTAGATTATCGGATGAAATGGGATATATGATAGCAGCACCATATATTAAGTCGTTCACTAATCGCAAAGATTCCAAAACTATATACAGCTTACAAATGGGAAGTCTGGATGAGTTTTCGTATTCTAGTAATATTGTATACCATTTGATTTATAATGGAAACATGAACCGCTTGCAGATGAGGTACAAAGCCGGTTTTGTGCATCAACAATTTGTATATTTTTTGTGTAATGTTTATTTAAATGATCAATTTATTGAAGCAAAGCTAGGCAAAATGTGTGCATCCCATCATACATACTCAAGTAATGGTTTTCGTACTTCGTATGAAGATATTCCTCTTGTGTGTTACCATGACAATGTAAACTACACGAAGATCGAAGATGGTTTAGTACTGAATCAATGGAACGATAATTGTATCTTTCAGTAATCTGGAATCAAGCGTTATCTGTTCGTTTAGCATTACAGAACTAGCAAAACGTTTCCGAGATTCGCGGATGAATATTTTACGTTGTAATCAGAAAACAGGATGGAAAAATCGAAGCTTTAAACCGGTCCTTTTTCAGCTTGGAAGTCAAAAACTTATACCTATTTGAAAAACCAGACATGTGCTGAATCGATGGTAAGATTGCGTGTGACATAGATAATGAAAGCATCTAGTTGTTAATTCAGTTCTGTACATAATGACTCATACATATATTTTTTTTTTTCAAATGTTGGTTCTTTGACTGTATTTGAACGAGGCTAGGAAACAGGTGTAATTCGAGCTTCAGCGAGCTATTTCTCCTGTTTCGAGCCGAGTGCAAATACAGCTGATATTTAAAGACACTAAACATTTATTATGCTAAACAGTTTTTGTCTGTATTCTGCGATTAATTTTGTAATTTGTTTTTGCTTTGAAAGACAGAAAAACTCACATTTATTGCATTTATTTTCGATTTAAAATATATTTGTTTTTGTTTATTTTACCTTTGAGGCCCGGGCAGTAATATTAAACAAAATCACACAATCAGCTGGTGACCGGTACGACGAAAAGAATCTCGCATGGTCAACAGTAAAACATCGCTCAAATAATTATTTATTATAACATAACGTCTAATTTCAACAGTAAAAAGAAATAACAAAACATTGTCCGATTTAAGACAAAAGTGTATGATTTGTCCTACGCTTCAGAATTTCGAACTGATCGTGACATTCACTGATTATTGACATTGTTGCATGGTTGGTTTTGTGTGTTACACATGTACATCTTCAAGTTTTAAACATTAAGATTGGTGCCGTAGAAAGTAGAGTTAATCCTGCTGTTCATCGGATGACAAAATATTTTCATTCTTATTCATATTGCTCTAAAGAAATGCTTGAAACAAACAGAACGCAAATTAATCTATAGTTCACATAAGGTCAAGCAATAGTCATTGGAATGCGACTGCAATACACATTCTGAGGTCACCAAAGTTCATACAACACTCGTCAACAGCAATACACAAAAGTAGTCCGGCAGTGGGCGGAGCTTTAAAGCGATATCTGTATAGTATACGAATACCAGCTAGAGATATCTGTTGGGCTGTTAATGTATGATAATACACCCAACTGTAGGATAAAATGTATTATTCACAGTAATTCTATCGATGTTGTCATATACGAAAAAAGTGTATGAAGATGTTTTCAGTGCAAAATATGTGTTGTGGATTTTAGCGAAAAAAAAGTGTTTGCCTACAGTTCAGACGTAAACACATTAACCCTAACCCACACTACAAAAATATAGTTAGAAAATTCTACCATCTTCGCTACTTTTACCATTTTCACGTACAATTATGTCATCCATTTCCTCGAACCATGGAGCAGCCCTTTGCCTTTTATTGTCTTACTACTGTTCGTCATCTCGACAGGTCCAATTTGACATTGAAGCTTTCAATAATCTTACTTTTATGTTCATAGACATATATAAAAACAAGGAGATATGGTATGATTCCTAATGAGACAACTATCAATTACACATTAGAAATAAGAGCCACACATTCTTATAATTGGGCTGTACGCTGTTCAACCTATCATTTTGCTACAAACATACTCTATGGTGTTGAAATAAACAATTGTTGTGTCATATATTTTAGGTTTGTAATGTGATCAAAGGAGATTTCTGCAACACTGTTCTATATTATACAATTGAGGGAGTCCATCCAACTGTCTTAAGTGCAGTTTACAACACAACAGGGAGAGTTCTATGTCATCTCGCTAAAATTGATTCAAATGACATGGTGCTGATTGCAGGAACAGATACAGGGCAAATTGTTAAGGTAACACATGTTTATATTTATTTTTTATGTTTCTTCGACGAAAATTAGTGAGTAGTTAAGGGCATAGAATACAGTTACAGGGGAGATAATGACGTTGCCAACATAAAATGTTATTTTTCGCGACGTCAAACTGTGACATATCGGGAAAAGATGCATTTTTCGACTGATTTTTATCATTAGCATGAAAACGAGTTCATGGACGCCACTTTTTTAAAATGACATTTAGTTTGATTATGTAAGAATATTATTGTACAAAATTTTATGAACTAATCACCAATGTATTTTTTTTTTAATTAGATAAATATACAGCAAAAATTGGCGTTTTTTCTAAAATTATGAAAATTAAATTTAAATTAATTAATTACAAATAACTGTTACATAAATTTAAAACACACTTATGTAAAGAAGACATTCCAAATGATTTTTCAAAAATCCGCTGTCCTTTTGATAGAAATTTCCAAGAAAATGAAATTTTGACCAAATGTCTAAAATTTCTACCCCATTTATCTCTAAAAAAAGAAACACATGAAGATATATGTTTTATTACATACTTGAATTGACTAGGAACAAATAGCATATATGCCCAAAAAAAATCACCGCGGGATCAAAACTGTATCGTATGCCCTTCAGCACAACTTTGGCCATTAAAAATTTACGAATAAAGTAAAATTTCTGTTTGTTGATCACTTCCTTCCTGAAAAAATTAAGGAAACATTAAATACTGGGAAACTCTTAGTATCTGTTAAAATGGTATTACGTAGATACGGAAATCTAAGACAATAGTGTACTGATTTATATAATAGTACATTGTTCAAATCTCTTTCAAAAAACAGAAAAAGAACTAGATAAGTAACGTTTGTTGTATTTGACAGGTATTGTTTGTCAGATTTGTTTTAATTTTCATCATTTACTCAAAACTTCTTTTTCGAAAATGTGTCATGAACCAAAACTTATTTTTAGAAAATGTGTCAGGTACAAAAAAAAAGGTTTATCCTTCAATAAACAATGGATGTTAATTTCCTCCATCATTTTGTTATTGTCTTTATTTAGAAGGACATGTCATCAAATCATTTGACACTCAAGAATGAATATCAATTGATGTTTCAAGTATTTTATAAGTATATTTTAAACACGTACACTTTTAGAATTTGCATTCAATTTGTTCAAACTAAAGATAGTGTAATGCACTACATGACGCTTATAACATTTTGTATGTGTTCAATTTATTTTTTAAGTAATTAAAAGTAAATCATATTTTCCTATTGCATAAAAATATGATTTGGTAAAACAAAGGAACCAATCAAAATCAGATGGATTCCCTTCTTAGCTTATTTTCAGTTTGGAAATTCATAATTTACGAAAACTTCATTCCAATATTTACCTAATATGTATTGGCAAAAACAACTGTTTTTACAAGTCTACTTTAAATTATATAAATGATCATCGTTGAATTTTTGTATTTTTACTTTTGATTTAACATTTATCTAGATCTAGAAAAAAATACTATACAATCTTTACTACATATTTAAAATAGTTACATGTAACGCATATAAATCGATTGTTTTCATTATTATTATGTATGCATGTTTCAATCATCAAGTGTCATTATGATCAGTTGCATCTGAAAATAAAAAAAAAATTTGATCGCATTCCTTTTTCAAAAAGAGAACAAGAACATTTGCGTAAGTAGGAGACATATTGTCTGGCAATTCATGTGTATGTTGATACAAATGATAATAAAATGCGCTCAGATTTTCTTTCTATTTGTTTATTTTTTATCATATTTTCGAAGTTTTACATATCGTTATTAAATGTTAATCGTACTTTTACTTATATATCATTCATTTATTTATTTTACACATGTACATTTATTTACAGTTGAACATTAGTTCCATTGAGTCCTATACAGTAGACGTAGAATATGAAATAACAGGATCGCACAACATTGTTGACTTACAAACTCAAAATGGAACAATCTACATAGTAACAGATTCAAAGGTACATTTATTCAAACACTACAAAGGTATCAATAAATCTAAGATATAAATACCACAAAGGGTACAATACACTAATTATTGATACAAAATCACCAAGCACACTGCACAAGACTACACGCAAGGAAACATGCTTGTGTTGCTGTTTATGCTAAGTCACAATGAGGTCGAGGCCTGTTATTCTTAGTAAAAGTCTCACACCGTACTGCATTTTAAAAATGGCGCCTCACAAAGGATCGAGTGGTAATATTTGCCTCATGTCGATAATGCTTCATCTGTGCATTGGTAAAAAAAAAGATGGGGCGTAATATAATGAGCATTGAATCTTTCTTACTTTCAAATTTATAGGTACCAAATACTTCAATAAACTCTTATAAGTGTTTTATTAGTTAATGAGTTTTTATGCATTCCACTGACACTTAAGATTTGTTGCACCAGCTATAATTTAAACCTGGAAACACCAAGTTTAAGATGTTTCATGTATGCCATTGCATTACCAAGAACGGAATGTTGCTTTAATGTTCACTCAAGGATGTTCGCTTTTTTTTTACCTCTTGTCAGATATTTGGAATCCTCTGGTTTTAACTATGTGGTGCCATTACAACATTTTGCCCGCTAACCCCTTCTTTTCCTTTCACAATGTTATAACATAATGTATGAAAAGCCATTTTTTTAAATATTATAAAATACTTGTTATTTCTTCAAAGTTTTTGATAGAAAAAAGATGCTAATGTCAATTGTATAAAAAGTCGAGTGACAATCATTTCCCGCCAAATTTTCCATGGCTTATATCTAAAACATAAGGACACGAACCTTGCATTTTTTTTCCGGTTTTTAGTTCTGATATATATATATTATCAATTTATTAAATCTTTTAAAAAGATGTTATTTTGAAACAAAGTAGCAAACATCCTTGAGTAGCTTCATGCATATATGCCTTGGCAATGATTGATTTATTGATTGATTGATTGGTGTTGTTATGCAACTTCTAGCAATTTTGTGCTATTTCGTGGCGGTCAGATTTTTTTCATTGGTAGAGGAAGCCGATGGGCCCGAAGAGAACCACCGACCATCGGTAGGAAAACTGACAATCCTAGATAACAAAGATTAGAGTCGACTGCCCAATGAAGCAAACAGCAACATGATGTTGAATATAAGTCGACCGAAACATAAATGTATTTGCTGAAGGTATGACTGTCATTTTGTCCTCTTTTTTTTCTTTTAGTTACAAAGAATGGCTGTGGATGACTGTGCCTTTGACACCGACTGCACTGGCTTAAAAAGCTGTCTTAGTCATATTAAGTCTTCGGTGTATTTCTGTACCTTAGCTTTGCTATACATTAGAAGTGTCCTGTGGAATATTTTCTGAGCCCTTGCGTAGCATTTTGCCTTGTTTAAAAAGCTTGTTTGTAGGGTGTCATCTTTTATTTTCAGTTTCCAGGCAGAATTCTTACAAAACAATACTTAGTGGATTTTATAGTCATACAGAAAATCTTTCAAACTTAATTTCATACACGACCTTATTCAAATCAGTTATTATTAATTAAGAATTGCATGCTTCTTTTTGTAGTTTTATTTGGGTGTAAAGGCGTTGACCGCAGTACATTTTGTATGAAGTGTGAAATCTAATTTCAAAATAAGATTTAGTTATCTAATAAAATGCATCATTCATGACTGCACGTGCCTCCCGTGACATCGTCACAACAATAGAAAAGAAAACAAACAAAAAACCTGATACATCACATTATTTCATGGTTGTAGCATAAAAATGTAATTATAAGAATTGAATTTTGTTTTTTTCATTGTAAATTTAGAGTGTTGTAAAAGTGTTGATGTTGCGCAGATTTTTAGTATGAAGTGCTTCCGCTTCTAAATACTTCGGTGTGTAAATAAAGAGTTTATTTAACAACTATATTAGATTTTATATACATTTATTTCCATTGCCGTAGGGAGATATATAGATTTGTTCCCTCAAAAAAGTTCATATTTTGTCTTTTTGTCGACATGAAAAAATTTGCATCATTTTAGGGTACATTTTACTAAAAGAGTAACGTTTCAAAGCTTTTACAGTCGCCAAAATATCGCCTTCTGAAAGATAGGGCTCATTCGCTTTCATAATGATAATACTTCAGTTGAAATCAATGTCAAGTATACGTAGAAAATAATTTCAGATAATTATCTTTGGTCTACTAAACAATGAAAGAGAGGCGAAAGATACGAAAGGGACATTCAAACTCATAAGAAGAAAATAAACTGACAACGCCATGCCTAAAACATAAAAAGACAAACAGACAAACAACAGTACACAAAACACAACATAGAAAACTGAAGACTGAGCAACACGAACCCACCAAACACTGGGGGTGATCTCAGGTGCTCTGGAAGGGAAAGCAGATCCTGCTCCACATGTGGCACCAGTCGTGTTGCTCATGTTAGTGCAAACCCAGTAATAAGTCTAATTCGGTAGGTCACATTCGGGGGAGGGGACGGGATTGTAGTTACGACAATTGGAACATATTCGCTGTCATCGGGAGATATATACTCCGTAGGCAGGCGCTGCAAGAATGTTGCTATATAAAAATGGAAATTTCACAATTGGGAATCTGAAAGGTATATTCACTGAAATGTTTTTCGACCGTATTTTCAATGTGTGAACATGATGTATTTGATGCGCCTTGTAACTTTGCTTCTAAATCGATATCAAAATTAAAAACAGCTGCCTACGGTTTTTGTTTTTGTTTTTGTTTTTTTAAGGGGGGTGCATTTTGAAAGTACACATTTAAAAAAAAACGGATCTAGAGCTTTGAGATGGTGTAAAGTATAGTTAGAATTCTGGTCGTACCCAATACTGGAATTAATACTGTTAGCACAGTGTGTACCTTTCGATTCTAATTAACTACCCCTCTACATTAATAAGCACTTGTTTTATGTTAAGCTCCATTATATTATTTGCAACTGAACATGAACTAATATATTTCTGTTTTACTGCAAAGAAATACGCTTTTCATATTTAACATCGGGTATTGTTATACTTGACGTCTTTTGGTTCAAAAGTAGAGAGATAGAAACTCTTGCTCTTAAAATACCTCGCCATTTTATTCATTTAAATAAAAGATTGAAAGTTACTAATATAAAGTGCAAAGCACTTGCTTGAAGGAAATCACGACTCTTGATCCTTTACTCACTCTAAAGTTAACTCTATTTGTAGCACATTTCGCCGAGCACTTGTTCTTCTTGTGTCTCCTTCTTTTTTTTCATGAAAAAAGACATGGAAATTAACTTAGCGATACATACGGAAAATGGCGAATAAAATCCAGTGATGTTTTATTATTCTATTTCCTGTTATAACAATGGAGTGTGATATGTGATCTAATAACTATATATATAATTTTAATTTGAACTTAATCATGTCTACGAAAATATTGATCACAAATTTAATTTAAGTCTAAAATATTATTAACTGTATCTAATCTATCTATTAAATTAAAAGATTAAACCATCATACTTTAATTAGATTCAATCGAACATATTTATACTAGTCTGGTACAATAAACAAACTTGGTGAATAAAATACAAACTATTTAAAAATGAAGTGTAATATGTGATGTTGGGTGTTATGTTTTCTTTCCTTTTAAAGACAACATTGCACGCTGACTAGAAACGTTTTCTCCAATCAAATTGCACCATTTCATTCATTTTATATCATGTTCTGTTATATCCCTTCTCATCGTTATATCTTTATAGACCAGATGTTGTATTCTTGCATTTCAGTTTATATATACCGTTTTGGTTGTCTCCCAAAGCTTACTTGTCTTTACATCTACGGCATCTGACTATGTATGAACTGGCACATTAAAATCCGGCTCATCCTGTTGATCTAGTACAAGATTAATTTTGTTAATCAATTTGATGCGTTCAATTGGCTTTTCTGGAATTATTGTCATTAGTACACATGGGGAAAAAATAAACGTGTCAAATTCAACCATGATTGTCATACATGTAGCATGCATGCTAAGGATTATTATGATTAGAACACTAAAATGCATATGTAATTTTACTCATGCTTTAACATTATTAAAATTTTCCGGTGACGAATACCTATTATTTCTGGTTTTTTAAAGATCTTCTCACGCTTTTTTTTTTTTTTTTTTTTTTGTTCGTAGATGAAAGTCACCTTAAAAAGCTCCCCTGACAAGGAGTGCATTTGCATGCATAATAATACATAACTAATTTTCCATTTTGTGAAATGTTCCCCTAGGTACCACATAATAAAAGTTTACATTTAGTGAAATGTACCTGAAAGAAACACACAGCTTAATGTGCCACTGGGGAACATATCAAAAGTCACCATATGGGGAAGTGTTCCTCTGGGAAATATTAAAATGTTTCGCTAGAAAACACATATCAAAAGTTGCCTTCAAGAAAAATCTTCGTTTGTGGAACATTGACTATTCCTCTAGGGAACACAAATGAAAACATTATCATTAAGTAGAAAGCTTTAAATGACTCAAGACTTCTGTTATGCATCAGCCTCCCCAGAAATAAAGTTGTCCGTTATGAAATACTTACTGCCAGGAAGGATATCATCTTGATGATTGAGTCATAATATAACTTTCGATTTGATAGTGATAATTTGTATATGCTGTCCCCAGAGGAACATTTCACTAAATGGTAACTTTGTTTATGTGTTCCCCAGAAAAACATCACAATGTTCCTCTGGGTTCTCTAAATGTTTTTTTTTAACTAAGTGTTCTCCAAGGGAAAATTTTACAAAATGGTAAAATAGTTATGGCACTTGCAAAACTTGTCGGTTCCCGAAGGAGAACTTTAAAGAGTGAATTTCGTGTACGAGCTATACTTACGGACAATGTAGCATTTTGAAAGTTTAATTATTGTTAAGAATTATGGAGAATAGCATAGTATTAAGGTTTCAATATGGGTAGACGGAAAGTCAATGTAACTGTCACAATTAAGAAAATCGATATAAAAAACAGAATCAAGGCAATTACACTTGAAGAAAACTATTTAGATACTCATATGAAATTATCATTCAGTTAGTTGACAATTCGAATCTTCAAGACAAACATACGAATTCAGTGCACGTGGCCGCTAACACCTTTCACTGAGTTTCAGAATGTTCAATTTAATTTATTTTATACCTGACGAGGTTTGATCTCACTTCATACATGCTTCAGTCTACTTTCGGATTTCTAATAATAGGAAATAAAAAAGGTAAATAAAAATGAATACCAATGGAGAAATAAAAACAAAACAAACTAAATATATACTTTGATTTTATTTATTAGTATTTACGTTTTAAATTTCATAAATAAAACTTCAATAATGTCATATTTGTTAACACATAATAGCCTTGACAGTTCCTTTTATGAATGCTCTACAAATTGGGCATCTTCTTAGAGCAGGCGCACAGTTTGTACAGGCAGCTAAATGCCCACACGGAAGAAAAACTATAGCTATTGGTTCATCTAGACATATTTTACATGTCTGCTGATCTTTAAGGTTTTGATTTTCTTCTTCTAAGCTTCTTACCGACACTGAAATATAATTTGAAACATATCACTGAATATTTCATTAAAGTTAATATAAGGTAATAAAAACATATCTTATGTCACAAGCTACGAAAATAATCTATTAAACCCTGTTAGAATGTTTTCCAAATTTTTATTCTTGAAGGTATTTCAAATAAAACTTTTGCAGGGGTCTAATAAAACGGAATTCGTTTATTTACATTAACTGGGTCGTCATCGGTGCTGCTGGGTTGACAGTCCCCGAGCATACATACTGCTTCTTCCAAGTGAAGAGCTCATAAAACCTAAAAGGATCAAAAGTAAAGCAAAACCCGGACAATGAACCATAGCTATGCATGACGGAGGTATATTCCTAAGTTTAAAATGATTTCGAAATTTTTAACAGCAAATTTAAATAAACCATATCCGTGTTTTAATGTTATACCTTACTGTTAACCCCGAGTGTGTTTGATTAAGGATAAGTCAGAAGTACTTTGGCACCATACGTTCATTTATTGATGTTATAATTTGTGTTCTGGTGAAATTAAAACGCGAAGTAAAATACTTTAAAATATCGCCGATAGAAATAAGGTATATGTTAATTTAATAGTTGTGTATTTACGTTCAAGATCAGGAGTACTTGTCGTCTCTTCAGTAGATTTATTTTCATTGGCCTCTATTGGGTTGTCTTCTTTTGTCTGTTGTGTATCATTGCCAGATAGTTTTCCAGTTTCTATTGAATTTAATAACTCGTTTATTCTGCTATTTTCTTCAATTTGGAATATGGCTTCAAGAAGAACTGTTCCAGTGATCTCTGAAATATAAACGGTTTTGTAAACTTCATAGTCAACGGGTTTAAGGCCAAATATATTAAATCATAACAAAACTGGTTTTCGTTATAATCAATCAAAGAAGATGTGCAATTCATGATATAACAATCGTCATGAAGGTTGAATTTTTAAACAAAAAGAAAATAACACTTTTCAAATTTCGTGCGTCCGGAGCGCTTTACAGATTTAACCTTCACCTAACCGGCCAAACGCAAATTTTTGAAACCCAATAATGTATAAATGAGTCGAAATGTTCAGAGCTATATGACCGAAAGAGACCAAAACAGAATAGTCGAATTTGTATGAGTCAATGCTTTTGTACACTCCTAAAAACTATAAACAAGATTATCATAGTTTAATTCTTATAACAAATATTACATTTTAATGCTTAAACATGACGAAATTACGAGTTGAATAAAGCCTTTCGATTGTTTTGTTTGAAATTTTCCTAGGCATCGTTTGAACACTGTCATGGTGAACATGCATTTAGAATCATTGCGATTTTTGGCTCATAAATGAAAACTACATGTGTGCGTCCGCAGCGCTTTTCTTGGTTTACCTTAATCTTTATCAAAATGCTTATTATTTAAACAATTTTCAATTTATATTCATTATTAAAAACGAAAGCTCTAAGAAAACTTTGAAACGACAGTACTAATATATACCTGTCGATCCTGCATTATGTAGCGAATCATAAGCTATCTTTACTATGCGTTCATCATATCCTAAATCTGCAACCGCCGTAACAGCTGGATGATTACTGTATTCAGCATTCTTCGTAACCGATTTTCTTGTTTCTCCTACCGAATTCGGATGCCATTTATTTTCATTCTAGAATATAATGAATTTAATTAGACAATTTTTCGGGTCTGCACTAAACATGAACGCACGTAGTATTATACAGTTTTTATATAATAAAACAGCCATCATCCAAAGCTAATAGGTCTAACAAAATTTGAGATTTGAGGAAATTTTGATATATCAGGAGTATTTTGAAAGGGACACATTTTAATGGATAATACAAGAAATTCGAGATAAGAGTTAAGGATGACGAGAGTAAACTGGTAGATGCATACATTAAAACTACTGTTTTAAAGTAATGTTAATAAAAGGAAAAGTGTCCATTATGTTTAATGCACTGAAAGTTCAAACCGAGAAATGTTTAGTTGGTTTTCTTTATAAAAATGGGTGCACGACTAATCAAGTATTGCATTGTTTGGCATCTTCTAATACACCACTTTCGAGTTATGTCCTTCACCGGAAAAGTTCGTCAATTATGCGCGCCTTTATGACGTTATTTCCCAAAAATAGGGGACCGCCTGTATCCCTACACTATTAAAGTACATCAAGCGTCTTCATGATCATCATTATTCAGGAAAAACTAGAAATAATGTTTGTTCCGTAGGTACTTAATCACAATTCCCTAATGACACCAGTGCTGATTATTAATTATAAGAATTTAATTTTCCAAATAATTCGTACAATATAGCATCATTATTTTTTTCAACCGCTCCCTCAACATGGAAAGGAAGTGACGATGCGCCTAAACGTACGAATGATATTCATTAAAACCAAAGTTTTTGACGGAAATGCAACGAATTCGAAAGTTGTCTTTTTATTGAACGCATATGGAGAGAATGTACTTGATATTACGACTTGTATAGTACAATAACCTTTTGCCAATTTAAATTTGATATAAATATAATAAAAATTCAATTTAAGACATATACACATATGTCCATCATCCAACTGATGTAGAATATGGTAGGAAATACCTACATATGACCTCAGTGCAATTGTCCTTATATGCAAAACTTTGTTTCAGCTTTCACATACAACGGAATAAGAAATATACCTTATGTGGTAAAATTCTATTCATTTGAACATCTTCTATAAATTTATCTCCTTTACACTGCCGTAAAAAAGTACAGTTCTGGTACCAGCGGGCATGTTCTATCCATGGTTGGTCACCTGGTTCCCAGCTTCTTAAACCACCCCCACAAAAAAAGCATCGGCAATGGTCGTCTGTTCCTAGAGTAAATAAACAAAAATTTAGTCATTTGATTTACTCAGACAAAACGTCTTATAACAATTTTCCTTTTAAGATGATAGGCAATTCAGTAAATCATATTTGTTTCTCTAAGATTTATGGTTAGCCATGATGTCAATAAAATTGATTTTTTCTTTATATTCAGAGAAAAAAGGAAATTCGAAACATATTCTGTACCTTGAAAGAGAGAAAAATATTGATATTTGAATTTATAAAATTTGACATTTTTTAATATCGTATATCTATATGAATGGATGAATAACAGAAACGTGTCATTTGTAAACTTTTTATTATGTCAACAGTTTGAGATTTCAATAAAAAAAAGGACTCATTATCGGACAAAAGATTATTCAAGATTTATTTTCTAATTCATTTTTTCCTACTTTTTCAAAAAAATGATAAAATTTCACCTGTGAAAAATAATCCTGCTGTAGCCATTTCTTCTGGAGACTGTGTCAAATGTTGCGGCCAATGACTAAATGAATCAAGTCTTACAGATCTGATTGTGTATTTTGGATACTTCGGTTTATCAAGACATATTCTTAACGCTGTTGGTTCTCTTTGATTGTTTTGCAACGTAGATCTTGCATATACACCGTGTATAATGCTTCCTGTAGAATTTAGTATTGCATGTTGTGTGTGCGCATTGAATTGGGGAATTCTGATTAAACTTTGTGTGTCATTTGTTGAATAACTTGTGGCGAAAGAATTACTTTCCGTTCTCGTAGTGTTTACGTTGCAAGAACTTGTTTGATTTGAACACGAGGCATTATACTCTCTGCTCTCGCGTTTTTCATCCTTCGATTTAGAAGATGTATTAAAACTTTTATCATCTGAGATAAATGTCCTGGTATCTGGTTCAATTTCATCACGGCCACAAGCACCTGCAGTCTGAGAACTTTCCTCACGTTGTGGTTTTATTTCCAATAAAAAGTAGCAATTTGGAGATATTTGTTTGTGGATCTCTAATGGTAAATCGTAACGTTTCCAGTTTTTATGCGTTACGCCGCAGCTGTAGCAAACAACTTCATCATCATACCCGGAATAAAAGAATCCAGCCTCCGCTAACCTAGTTGCATATACTCCCGGTATATAAGGAAATGTAGCAAATGTTGAGAATCGTGAACCTTCGAATTGCATACTCTGTGACTTCTCATCTTTTAAGAATATGCGAAAATCTTGTGGCAAGAATGGGAAAGTTTGAATTATAGTCTGTGGTACATTTCGAATTAGTCTAATAATATTTCCAAGCCACCGTTTTGGTCCTAAATATAATTGTTCATTCGTCAGAAGAGTTCTTTTCCATTTTACTTTAACTTTTACCGTATGACCACATTTTCGAATCATTGTATCATTAATTAAAGCGTTAAAAATGCATTTTACAAAAAGTTTAATGAACAATGCCAATGTATACCAAACCAATAAACTTTTCTTGCATTTTTCGTATTCATGCATTAAAGTGTTAAGATCTATATTAAGTAAATTATGTAAGATTAGTTGTAGATCGCTTTCCGGTGAGCAGGATAATTCGTAATGATGTTTTTCATTATCCCGCGAAACCCCACATTCGCTGGATTCAGATGTCTCGTCTGCAAATGGGATAGTCATGGTAATTCTACAAAAAAACTTGATGAAATATAATAAATTATTAAGTTTTGTTTCACAAAAATTAATGAGACGTGGTATGATTATCAATGTGACAACTATCAACGAAAGATACAATGACATAGTTGTAAGCAACAACATGCTACCGTAAAATGAACAAAGCTATGAATGGCCCCGGTGTGACAAAATGTGAAATAAATCAAACGCGAAAACCAACAACCCGTTGTATGCTTAAACAAGAAACAAACACGTACAAATTATTGTACAAGGTGTAGTGATGGTTCAGATTTCAATGAACGTAAGAATTTCAAAGTTGAAAAAAACTTATTAGTGAAAAACGCAGGACCACATTTCCGCGCTCACAACACTTGTTAAAAAGGTTATGTTTAACAATTGTGTAAGCATAGGTTCTGAATTTTTGGGGAAGTAAAATCGATTCGTTAATTCATAGTTTGAAACATGAAAAACACTTAGATTTTTTTCTACATTCCGATTCTACACAAATTTATTTTAGGTATTGCACACACTAGTGTATTATTTAACTTGTGTTGGCATTGTTAAAAAAAATCTATACTCCGACGTTCAGTCGTCGACATATCAGTTAATGGCGACATGAAGTCATATCTATTGCTAAGTACTTTGACCTTGCTTTCAGTATGGATAACTCTTTGATACGGTAGTATTTTGCTTGTACTTCTGTTTTGTTGCGTTTTTTTAGTGTCTATTGTCAACTATCGATAGTATATAGTGTTTCATGCTTTTCTGTACTGATAAAGTTTTGTTCTCAAGTAATTTTTCCTGTCTCAAAGATCGAAATTATAAGACGGAACTTCAATGTTGAGGTATGAGGAAACATATTTAATCCCGCAACATGTGCAGGTGCTTGTCTCAATTCTGTCACCTTAATTGTCAGCGTTTTATTTTATTTTAATTATACCTTATTGTTTTGCTATTTAGAGAAATTAGATTGGCGCCAGATCTTTGATAAATTTATTCGCTATTTATCTAGACTCGTGACGATTTACAGCTTGGCATATTGTATATATAGACAATTACCCTATTGTTGTACACCGCATGTTAACATCAAGGTGTTGTTTAGTTTAGATTTTTTAATGTCCTAGGGGTCCTGCATCATTAATTTTACTCCATATATAATGCATTTTCATACTTAACAGGGATTTCCATAACACATCAAAAAGAAATACTCTGCAACTTTATCCAAATTGACCCCTGTAGCCAGCAACCCGGAGAAAATGTACTTGACATGTGATTGCAATATACAGACTAGAGATCGTTTAAAGAATACATATAAATAAGGCAATAAATCAAACTAATAATAAAAACGCTGAATTTTAAGGGTGGATCCCGACTGGTCCTTTTTTATCATTGAAACCGTACATGTACATGCTACGTTAAATCAGGTGATATAGAATAAAATCGCTCACCTAGGTCTATGTATATCTTCAACAATGGACACTCTCCAAAATATAGAACAGAATCCATGACAAAAATCTCTTTTTGCTGATCTTGTATTGCTAATTATTTTTTAGTTTTTGCTCAAAACACCAAAAGATGGTAAAAACATCGTGATTTGAGGTTAGTCACTCCTATAAAGAGTCTTCTAAATATTTCAGTAAAATTTGACTGTTTGTAGATCTTGTCTTGCTGATCATGTTTTACATTTAAAGCTTCTATCTATCTTTCATAGTTTTCATGATAATAGGCAAAATCGCCAAAACATGGTAAAAATCGTCATTGAAGAGCAAGAACTCCAACAACTAGTCGACAAACGATTTAGCCTAGTATATTAACTTATTTGTACATCTTGTCATGCTGATCATTTTTGCTATAAAAAGTGTTTATCTTTTATCATAGTTTTCGGGATTACAGGCAAACACTAAATACTCGATAAAATCTTCATTAAAGATTAAAATCTCCAATAATGAGTCGACTGACGATTTCAGTCCTGCTAACTAATTTGTTGATCATGTCTTGCTGATCATTTTTGCCTTTTAAAGTGTTTATCGATCTTTAATAGTTTTTAAGATAATAGGCAAAAATACTAAAAATTGGTTAATATCGTCATTAAAGAGCAATAACTCCAATAACAAGTCGACTGAAGAATTCGGTCATTAGACTCAATTATAGATCTTTTCTTACTGATCATTCTTGCTGTTATAAGTTTCTATATATCTATTTTTTTTTCAGATATTTACCTTTTGCAAAAACGAACAAAATGGTACAAATTGTCATTAAAGGGCAACAACTTTAACAAGGAGTCGTCTGACGATTTCGACCATGTTAAATTATTTGTAGATATTGTCTTGTTGATAATTTTTGCAATTTGAAGTTTATCTCTATCTATTATGATTTTCAAGATAATAGGAAAAAATGAAAAAAGGGTACAATTCAAGGGCAATAACTCCTATAGGATGTCGTCTGACAGTTTTGACCAAAATGAAAAATAGATAGAGCTCAACATTCTTAACAATTTTGTCCCTGTCAATCTTTATAGCAGTTTTCAAAATAATAGACAAAACTTGCATTTTTCTCCAATATTCTATTTTTAGCCATTTCGGCCATCTTGATTGGTAGGCGTGGTCATCGGAATGGTGATTGTGGCGAAGCTTGGTTACATTTGGCCCAGTAGTTTCAGAGAAGATTTTTGTAAAAGTTAACGGACGACGACGACGGACGACGCTAACAGACGACGGACGTCAAGGGATGGGAAAAGCTCACACTGGCCCTTCAGGTGAAGGTGAGCTAAAAATGAATAGGAATTTTTATAAAGTATCTAAGAGAAAAAATGCTATCAAAATAATCGACATATTTATGTTGCGTACACCGTCTATTTGGGTCAATTTCGGTCCTTTTATCATGCCCAATGTCCCCCTTAAGTTTAAAAATCAGCTTTCTATGTGCCAAGAAAAAAAAAGTCGATTTCATAAGGATCGATTATCGTTACTCTGTAACTATAACTATAGAAGTATGTATATAAAGGTTGTGATTACAAACTTATAGTAAAGACGAAGACTTATAATACAACCGCATGATATACCTGTGTATAACGACATGAAATATTCTTGCGTTGATAGACATAATCTAAATATATTTATAACATTCTATATATTTAAATATCAAGACAATTTGGATTCTCATAATTACCTGGGACATAATATATTGAAGAATACTATTCCCAGTTTTTACCACAGGTACAACATGTACAAGACGAGATTATTTTAATATACCTTGTGGTACCTGTGGTTTTTACATAAGTTTTCCCATTATTCTTTACCTTTTTATAACGTATTATTGCACGTCAAGAAAGTCACGTTTATATCAACCTTTTAACTATTCTAAATTAGCTTTTTTTAGTTCTTATTCTACTTGTAAATTTCAGTTATTATCTAACCTGTGGAGAGCGATAACTCTAACCTATAAAGATTTTTGATTCTGTACATAGCGTTTTGGGAAGCTGCACATGCACCTTTTACCTTGTATGTCATGTATGTATCCTATTTTTTTTTAAATTTCATGATATTTCACCGAAATATTGCAAAAATGAAGTGGATTGAAACTCTATAACACAATAAAGGGGTCCACCATGATATGACGAACTCGTAATTTAAGATACATTTTTAGCATATCGAAATAATTTTTATCAGTTTAAATGATAATCAAGAAATGTATTTAAGTTTACCTTTTAATCAACTTTCCTACCATCCAAAGTGTAAATATATATATAATTGAATATTTCCAAGCTTTTCGTGCATTTTCGACAAGACTAATATTAGATGTAAAATCCGTGCAAATAAACATAATTAAATCTAAATGTGTTTAATATCATATGTGAAATGTCATTCTGTCGGATATCCTTGTTTTAATTTAAACAAATCTCGTTAAATTCCAAAAAAAAAGTACCCGGATATACAAGTCATGTATGTGAAGTAGATAAGTCACGAAAACAATGCACTGTTAGTTCGAATTCCATTTCATTATATTAGAATCCTATATCATTTATGCGTCAGTTTCCGGTCAGAGAGTTTATATATGTATATGCAACTTCCAAGCATGGACCGAAGCTCGTAAACTCGGCAATAAACGCAGGACTTCGTGAAAGTTCGGAGAGCCGACAACCTTGCTTCGGAATTTGATGTATTATAGGATTAAACACATTTTTCTAGAGGTTATTGATGAAGACTTTTATTCAGTTTATGAGTTAAAACGTCCCAGTTTACACATCAATAACCTCTAAAAAAATGTGTTTAATCCTTATAATTCTTATGCCAAACATTCGCATTATTTAATGAACAATGTTTTGTTTATTGCATCATCAAATGCACAATTGACATGTCGTAACTAAGGAGTTAGCCGCCATATTAACTTTGCGACATCCATAACTGTTCGATTCATGCTATAGAATCTGAAATGATATAACACCTACCTCAAAAGCTTCATTTTAATTAAATATTATCAAAATTTGAAGCGTACATGTACAAGTAACGGAATAATCATCAGCTTGAGAGTTTTAATTGGTATGACGACATGATCATTCATGATATTTCGCGGAATTTTATTTCATTTTAATTTCATACATTTTCAAAGCTTTAACACTTTATTTCATTTTGTTATCCGTTAAAAAAGAAATAACAGTTCTGTATTTGTTTTTTAATGTCAATTCGATTAGAACCCCTGGATCCCATGCATGAGTATCGCGCATGAATAGATCACAGTGAAGGTTACGAAAGTGGTTTCGGTAACATGGTTTATCGAAGTGTAAACCAAGCAAAATATTCTAACGGACCAACCCGATTCAAGTATTTGTAGATATGCAAATCATATAAGAATTATATGAAGATAACAAGAATCACACACTAAGACAAAAAAAAACCCAACTAAACAGACAAACAAACAAACAAAAACATAAAAATGCAAGAATAACACCATGACGAAAGACAAGAAATCAATGCGCACATCACATGTTGTCTAGAATATCTGTTACCAGACACGCTCTTTTCATAAAAGTTTGGAAAGCAAATAATAAAAATATTCTGAGAGCAAAAGACCCAATGGGGCTATATGCACTGTTTTATAAAGTGCTCTTTGGGAGCAATATACCTACAGATAATCAACTTTATTCCGCTTTTGAAGATGCAATATAATCTCTAGTTTATCAATATGTACAAATGTATCTTTACATTGTTCTTATTTCTCTCAATTTTCCTTCGCACAATCTCCATGTGCGGTGCCTGTCAGAAACTCAAACTGCATGCCGTCTCGTTCTTTTTTGAATAACATCATTCCCTCCAATTTAACAAAAGCAATAAGCACGCAAAATAAAACAAAAACAATAAACAATAAAACAAATATGACAAATATGGACAAATTGTTTT